AATCGTGCGTTATCTGTCATCGGGAGACCCAGTGAAAAGAGTTCACCCTCGCACATAATTCAGATCATTACTCCTGGCCCGGCTTACTCACTTTCTCCCAATCCACTCACCTCACCCTCTCATGCCAACCACATTGACCTTTTATGGCCGTGGGCTTGGCAAATCAGAATCACGTGACTTGCCCATTTTTATTGGCAATGCGTTCGCGTGGGTGTGCCGGCCTGCTTTCCATTGATAGTGGGCTCCAGGAGGGGTTAAGAGGTTGCGGAGGGCATAAATCAGATTTAATAGTGCAGCTGGGAAAGACGAGTCGCCAGTGTCTTCGCCAAAAAACGCAGAAGTGACTGGGATACGCATATGGGACTTAGCAGTCCGTTTAATGAGATTTCCAGTCGGAAGAGCAACGAGCGAAACCAATTTTATTTGCCATTTCTGTCAACATTTCGCAGTGGCATTGTTTTGTTCCGCTGTTTTTTTTTCATATGGCTGGCAACATTTTTACTGTCGCATTACGTGCAACATTTGCCCGTTGATTGCTTGGGGTAGCAATGCCGCCCCTGCCCCTCATCCCTTAACCACCCGGGGGCATTGCATAAATTTGTCTAGCTGTTGTTGCTGTTGCTGGCTCTACAATTTATGCGCTTGTGGCGCCCCAAAATGTGGCGGTGGCTCTGTTGTTCGCTTGCCGAAAATTTGCTAAAATACAACCTAAAATAGCAACCCCAACCGAGAAAATCCGAAAGCAAAAACTTTTGGCCATAAAGCACATGTGACTACCACATCAGCATCTCGTTGCTCATTGCGTATGGCTGTGTTTTCCAAAATGTATTTGTTTATTTTGCAGTTTTTGTGCAGCACATTTCCCGCTCCCGGCGGCTTTAAGCTTTCCTCGACCTGACAAAATCTTTCCTCATAAATCATCCCGGAGCTGAATGCTGAAAATCGTCTGTGATAAGAGCATGGCTTTTCCGGCAGAGCATTTATAAAAAATGTATGGCATTTTTCTGTACTTTCCTTTGGTAAATAAACCACGAAAGTTACCAAAGGAATTTACATTATGCAGCCTAAAAGGAATCTTTGTTGGTAATATGTGGAGCTCAAGCTTAGATTGATGACTGTCCCCCAAAGTTATCAACTCAGTAATGCTATTTTGGTCTTTTTGAAGACAGGTCTGTCATAATTTTTGTGCTTAAATTAAGCTGATTTTTTAAACTGAATGTACAGGGATCCAAAGATTTATAGTTTCGGTCCTAGCTTTCTAAAGCTGTGGATCTCTTTTGTATTCCCTCACCGTACAAATGTTTTTTAATATAGACTAAAAAGACGAACAAAAATGTGTTTTATATCTTTTTATGGTTTGCTTTATTACCTTATCATTTTATAACAAATCGCCTTCATTTTTATAGCATCGTTTACTTTTTTAGAGCAGCCTAAAGGAAACATGTATCCACCACTTAAAAGAGCATTCACTCGTCTGCAATCCAAACCAATCTTCTCTTCTTTGACTTGCTTTTCTATACATAATTAATTTATCACTTGGCGTTCATTTTTATCGCATCGGATGTCGCAGGACCTTCATTTCCCGTTGTCCCCCCTGGAGGCCGAGCCCAAATGTGACCCGTAATTGCTTTAAATGCCATTACGACACTTACGCACAGCACGGCTGGAGTTCGGATGTCCACGTTCTGAGTCTGGCTGCCAGCCAGAATTCGAGGGCCAAGGGCAGCAGTCAGTCTTTAATTTCCCTGGCTGCGCCTGCAATTGTTTTCGCTTTAAATAATTAAATTAAAGTGGGCAGTCAACTGATTGGAGGAGCCTCCTCCGACGGAGGAGGAACTCGCTCCCGACTGCCACTCGATGCAATTGTTTTCGGCTGGGGAGCTAGAGAGCCGGGCAGAAAACGAACGAAAAGCGAGGCCAACGACCTCTAACCTGGTGCAATCAGCGTAATTAAGGCAGCAACGGCATTCGCCGAGGATGGCTTATAAATCATTTATTGCCAAGACATTATCGCCATCGACTGCTGGTACACGTAGCCACCTCGTTTTCAGCCCACTCCGCCCCCTTAGAACTCGTTTTGCGCAAATTATGCTATGCTACGCGTTAGTCTATGACAGATTGTATCTGCGAGATACACAGCATAGCCGTCGTAGATGCCGACGTGCCGGCGCAGCTTTTATGCTGCACGTCCCAACACCCCCTCTCCCACCCTCACTCACGCCCAATCCCGGTGTCAATTTATGGCCAGGGTAAATACCGAAACGAGTCAGCACCGACTTTGGACCAGCTGGTTCGGTTCCTTCGCTCTGTTCGTTCTCTTGGCCAACATCTTGTGCAAATCTCATTTATTTGCGGCTTTGCCATAGTCACACACGAGTTGGAGTATCTGCCGCCACATAGCATTTCATACGTGTCAATGTGCCTGGCCTTGGCGAATGCACTTTTGATATATTGGCTCTGGGCTTATTGGTTTTCCATCTGGCGCACATCATCGCGTCTGTTGGATTACATTGCTTGATGGAGGGGATGGGGCACTTTGATTTGCGGCCTCCTATAAATTTCATCGCGTTTGACATGGCAATCGAGGGATGTCAACAGAAGGCAGGCGCCAAGTTACAAACAGCATGGTAATCGGATACCCCGATGTGGATGATCTCTTTGAGGTATGCAAAATTAGCTAAGAAAGCTCGAGAGCATAGAAAATCCAAAAAAAGCTCTTGTTTAATAGTTATGCAAATCCTTTCAAACGGTTGTTAAACCAATCTTTAGAGGCCTTCCAGTATTCATATTGAATGCTTAGTCATTTTATTCATTGAACTAAATAAATAACTCCGAATTTGTTTATTAAGGGTGTCTGCTCTTCGACTTGGTCCAATTTAACCACAAATCACTTCAAACATGTTTGACAATTCTCGTTGGATAACGGCTAAATCGCCATAAAAGTGTATAATAGCCATATAGAGGCCGCAAGCCTTATATAGCCAAGATTGTGGTTTTGGCCAGGCTATGATCTCCGTCCTGTCAGTTTGGAAATAGTTTAAGGCAGTCTCCAGTCGGGATTCGTGGCAATCTCGGAGAGCAACGATGGCAATCTAGCCAGGCCAAGCCAAGCCAAGCCAAGCCTTTGTGTACATAAGCGTATGTGCAAAGACATTCTTGTACATGACTCATAAATAATGTGCAATGGCATGGCCATGGTCGTCACCCAGACGTGACGACGCCTCCTCCGTTTGCCGCTCCTCTGGGCCCTGCAACCATATTTTGAGGAAAATAATTTTTGCCAAGTTAATTTGCCATTTCCGGCGACGACTGCTGTCAGCTTCCGTTTGGGAAGGCAGAGGGGAATCCCCCGTTTGCACCTGAGCATGCTTAATTGAATTTCGCATTTGGCCGAAATTAACAGCCAGTGCAGAAGAATTTGTTTATTTTGAGTGGCTTTTATTTCTGGCTCGGCTGGCAGGGGTCAGCACAGAGCTCGCTCCGGATTCTGTGCGTGCCAATGTCTGCGCACTTGAAATGGCTATGGCTAATGGGGAAAGAGGCACGGGCATGTGGCATGTGGCCGTTGGCATTGCTTTCTGTCCCAGACTCAGACCCATGCGTCTTCCAGTGGCGCACTGAACGTCAAAATGCGGCCCCGTTGCCATAAAATTGCCTGAATTTAGCGCTAGGTTGCCGCCGTTTCTCTAGCCCATCTCCAGTGCCTGGCAGCGGTCCAGCCTTGTCTCCATCTCCATCTCCGTCTCCTTTGCCATCTCCATCTCCGACTGGGCCTACATTCCCGCTCCATCCCGGTTTCCATCGCCATGTCAAGTGTCTTTGCTCTGGGCTTGTTAATCTACGAGTGGCTGCTTCTGCTCTTGCTTCTGCTTCTGCTCCGACTGATGTTGCTTCCTGGTAGTTGGTGCTCCCCGGGCTTTGTTTTCATTACCGACCAAGTCCACATGGCGGCCTATTAAATGCAAAAAGTGCAGACAGCCAGAAAGACAAACGGTCGCCTGGGCCTCCGCCATCCCGCCACTCCCCCAGTGATTCCACAAACTGGCCACCACTGTCATGAGAATTAAATATGCAAGTTGCAGGAGCCCCCTGTTTGCTGCCCAGCTCCATGGCATGTGGCTGGGTTATTAAAGTTAATTACAATTTTTCATGGCATTCATTTTTTCTCGTAACGATAATTCAGATTCTTTTTTATACAGTGTCCTTGCTCTGTGGCGATTTTTCCACTCTATTAATTTTCGCATTGATTTATTTGCGGCACCGCGTTGCTGCTGCTCTCTTTGTTTACAGACTGCAAAATCGGCGGAGGAGCGATCACCATGTGGGCTAAATTGAAACAGCATCGATGGGTGGGGTGGGTTTGGCCATTTCTCGGGGGAAAATTCAGTAGAGGAGCGCACTGGAGCAGACACGCAGCTGGGCGGTCATGCTGTTTCTATTAGATTACATGAAAAGCTCTTTGATTATCTGCTGATGATAGTGATCGATGCTGGAATTAAATGGCAAGAGATGAAAGCCGCCTCTGATCTCGTCGTGGAATATTAAAAACAGATTATTTGCACTTGGGGAAAGATAGCCAAAGTGCAACTCTGAACTTAAAGTTAACTTCCTATTAAGATGAAAAATATAAGCTTGATGAAAGAAATATGTTAAAGAATTGAAAAGCCATTGCAAGATAAGAGTACAAAATCTGAACTCAATGCTAACTGCCTCTCAAGATGAAGGAATTATGTAAAACAATTATTTTGATTATTCCTAACATTTTTCCATATGGAGTTATTTGGGTGGCTATAAGTTGTTGTCTTCAATGATAGATCTTTATAGTCAGATATAGTCAGACTTATGTTACTTAAAATTGTAAAAATATCATACTCATCGATGCTGACTTTAAATATATTATTTGGGTGCAACCGTATATATTAGCAACTTTCTTTAGCAATACATATTTATTCCTATCTTTTTTATAGTAAATCTAATTTATATTTTTCTTTAATTTTCAGCTGAAAGCGACCTGCTCACCTTTGCACAGCGCAAGCAGCACTTCCAGACGGACAAGTCATTCCAGCAAGAGCTCTTCACCGGCGATTCGCGACCGCTGAGCGTCCGCCAGCTTTACACGGAGGCTGGGAAGGAACTGCCGGTGGCCGCCGGAGCCACGGCGGTGGCCCTCGCCTCCTTGGCCCACTCCCAGTCGCTGATCCCGTCCCGCTCCATCTCCTTCAACGGCGAGGTTGTGTCCAGCGACCACGAAGTCCTGCAGCTCAATGGATCCGCGGGAACGGAGGATCATCTGCTGTGCGTGTCGGACTTTGGAAATGCCAACCGCAAGCTGCGCACGCGCATCGATGCCGAGATCGAAATCCGTTTGGTGAGTACCCACTATTTTCCCGGGTTAACTGGTTCCCAAGCAACTGGTAACCGTTAGAGCCCAGTTTCTGGGTAGAGATGCTCGGCCTGCAGTTATGCTCTATGCATAAATAATACGTGTGTTGAACGGAACGGCCGCCCAAAAAACCAGACCAGCTCACAAACTACGACGACCTCATGTGTGTGGTCTTTGCGGCAGCCACTTCCTTCCATTCACCAGCTGGTTTGCCTCCAAAACCCCCTTTTGCCGGCCAACTGTCGTCCCAACAATCTGCTCCACATAGTCCACATGGCCACCCAATCATTGTCATGGCTCTTTGGTGCTGATGATGATGACGGCAATGGCGACGGGAACGGGAACGAGCAAACAGAGACCACACACCACACACAGCCCGGTCCCAACTCCATCATACATCGCCTATCTGAAGTTTGCTAATGGCCAACGAGGAGCAGCTCATGGCATGACTCCATCAGCGGCGCAGCAAATCATTTCGAGTTAGTTGACTCGTTTTAATTGCTCAACTGGCGTCCCACGCCATTGTGGCTTTACAAACTATGATGCAGTCGTTCGGGAAGATTTTGCAGTCTGCATTTGGGTTGAATAAATCCATTGAATCTTGACAGTTTTATTAGGCAATCTTAATTGGACATTGTTGGAGGTAGTCTGTAATATTGGGGGAGAATACGTTATAAGACGAACTTTTTAGCTTGTTCAGGTCACCGAAGTAAGGTTGTATTTAAAGAGCCCAAATAGTACTTTGTTTAAAGACAAGAGGATGCTCAACAATACAATTATTTAAGATTGATTAAGAAAAGGTTTTCCCTACATTTTACACAAACTTTAAGCACCGCTTTTTAATAAGATTGCCAAGATTGTTAAATTATATCGAACTAAATTACATACATTAATCCCTCCGACAGTTAGCAGAAGTTTATCTATCCCACAAAGCGTTTCAGCTCTAAGCCATTTAAATTGAAAAAATATCTAAGTATCACTTGGAAAAGCAGAGACTTTTCATTTAGTCTGCCTTGCACGTCGCCAGTTCTCTCAGCTCATATCAGAAAATTGCAGTTAATTTGAGCTAACGCGCTTTCCAGTCGTCCCATTTGGTCTCCGTCTCCGTCTCCGTCATCGTCGTTGTCTTTGTCGTGGCCGTCGTCTCTTGTTTATCTTTTAGCCGGGCCATTAGATAAGCTGTGCAAAGACAAACAGCCAATGGCCAATATCTGCAGACGGGGATGCCAATGGCAACGAACAGCAACTCCGGCAGCAAAATCGCCGCGACGATGACAACAACTCGGATCCCTGTTCAATAGGTTGCCAAACTTGTTTTGGCAAAAACAACGCCGGTTGTCAATCCCGGTCGACTGTCGCCAAGTCTCCTCTCCTCTGCCTTACTGTTTTTTGCCATCTCCAGCCGACTGTAGCTCCATTCTGTCGACTGCTTCTTAATAAAATGACTTTTAATCCTTTTCGCATTGCGTTTGACGTTAGTTGGCCTCAGCCTTCCGCTCCGATACACCCCAAAGAGATTCCCAAAGGAGATTCCCAAAGAAATCCAGACCTGGGTCCAGAGTCAAAGACGACGGCCTGGCCATTAGCGCTCTGCGGTTTATTGGTTACGGCAGCAACTATCTTCAAGATGGCCCGTTTGGGTGGCTGCTGTTGTTGTTGCCGTCTTGACGGCACTTAAATTGCATTATTATATACGGCTCGACATTTATGAGCAAATATTTTATCGTTAAAAGTTGGCCACATTTGCTCCGCGTCGTTCATTGAGGGAAAAGACGCAGAGCCGGAAAAAGAATTTGGCTGCTGCCCCCAAAGAAAGGAGAAAGAGCCCAGACTCAGACTCATTGTCGGATTCAGGCATTTCTTTATGGTCCGAGCTAGCTTACTTTGGCCATTGGAAATCTAGCTCAAGTGTCTTTTTATGTAGATTTTTCATGGAGTGGGTGGGTGTTACAGAGGCCAGCCGGGGGTTGGAAAACTGCTGAGTTGGGGAACTGTGTAAGCCCCCCATCCCGCAGTTATTTTTCAATTGTAACAATTGATTCGAGCAGTCGAATCGAAAATCAAATGAAACGATTGTGCTTTTTCTTTATGCGAGTAATTCACTTAAGACCAGCAGACAATTCGGCCTGGGGAATGTTTTTCAAAGCAGAGAAAAGAACATCAGTTTTAAAATTTCCTTCAAGTTATATACAGTTCTTTGATTTTTATTGATTGGAATTAAATTTATTGGTCTAAAAGTGTAGAAGGTTGTTTATCAAAAAAGAAAAAATATATACCGAATCTTTTCTGACCGTTCTAAAGGGCAGTGTACATTTATGTTTTTGGAAAGTAATTTCCTTCTCTATTTTCCTGTATAGCAATACTATTTGACAATGGCAATAGAAAAACCTTTAAGTATCAGAACCTTGATTTTTAAGCTAGAGCACAACAGTTAGACTAACGCCCTTTTCCCGAAAGTTCCTTTATTGTTTTTAATTAGGCTGATTGATTTTCGTTTTGAAAACACACTGTAGAACGCGTGTTACATTTTGGGAGATTTAAAAATAGCGTGACTTGTTCCAATTTGCGGAAAGCATAGAGAATGTTTGCGCAAACACAGCACAAAGTGGCAGCGTTCATTTCTCATAAAGGGATATTCGTGACAGGCGGCTCTCCTGTGCGGCTAATTAAGGACCTGTCCGCCGGAACATGAACTATGCATACATACATGGAACATAAAACAATATTTTTGCATGCCAAATGCTTAATTAAGCCAATGTTTTAACTCTTTTTTCCTGTTCGTTTCCATTTCAGCCCGCTGCCATCGAGGATCTGCGGAAGTGGACATCCAGCGAGGCGCTGGGTGATGTCACCGTCACGCCGGATTGCATGCACCACGTGGACACCTCGGTGAGCACCTCGCTGGTCATCGGCGAGAATGGCATCCTGACGCCAGCCCTGTCTCCGTCCGTCCTCTCCGCCGACGCCGTCGACGCCCTCTATTCCCAGAACCTGAGCCAGGCGGCGGACAGCTCCCGGCACAACCACCATCAGCAGGCCCTCATCCCGAACGATATCAATAAAGATGTGCCTTTGAACCATCGCTTGCCTTCACCCGAGGAACAAACCAAACAGATTGCCTTAAAGTGAGTATTTTAAAGTGTTTAAATTAGGGGATATACATTTGTATTATCATTAATTATTTCTGAAGTCAAAAGGTTTGTCTTTGCAAATAAATCTGTTGTTAAGAAATATAGTTGGCATTTAAATTTGTATATAAAAGGCAGAGCTTAAGCTCCTTGCTGTTTGAGAAAAATCACTAAAAGCTTTAAAACCTTTTAACTTTGCAATTGATTAAGTTATATTTAAAGCCTACCAAATACAATTATTCTGTAATAATGAGAATAACTTACTTTATTTTCTCATAAACTAAACTCCCAAAAGTTTGAAGCCAACTGTGCTACGCTTACAGTTTTACGAGTGCTGAGACCGGCCAACAATTTGTCTTTTTTTAAACACGATTTTAATGCGTTTTTTATGCAAATTTCGCGGCAACTATTGTTTGTTTTTTCTGTTTCATGACGCACAAAAAAGAATAGCTATTAAAATCGTTGTTTGTTATTGCTATACATTTTTTCAACGTTCGATTGTCTGTGCTTGGAGCACGAGATGTTTGCTCAGCGAGCGCATCGGTCGAAAAAATGTGCTTAAATAAATTAATTCAATTACGTATGAATATTTACAATGCGGCCACACAATTATGCAAGTGTCGCCGACCCCGCGCCCTGCCAATCCATTGGCCCATGAACACGCCCGTTTCTGATATCCCAGGCATGGCTCATTTGTTCGCTTTTTTAAACTCCGAAATGGAGCAGCCACAGACGAGCCGTATTCACGCTCCACCGATTTGGAGCACGAAAAATGTGGCTGGCTGGCTGGTATTAAAGCGTAAACAAATTGTTGTTTGGATAACCACAAAAGTGCACTCCAAACTGTGCGAGGCTCCCATTCCGCCAGCAGATCGATCAGAAAGCCCACATCTGCAGGCACTCAGAAAAATATATGAATAATAATAATAACTACAAAATTAAAGCCAATTGGAATTAATTTCACTTTGCACACTGATTTGATATTTTCGCAATTTTAAAGGATTTTTTATCGCTATGAATAGTTAGCTAATTGCAAGCAAATATTTTGCAATTATAAACATTTTTTGACTAGGAACATTTATAACTGATTCTTTTTATGAATAGACTTAAGAAAGATTCTATAAATGTATTTATTTCATTTTTATAATTACTGATTCATGATTGAATTCTAAAAAACTTGTACGATATTTTTTAGTAGCAGATAATGGTTTGGATATATGATGATTTGTCTGTATGTATTTTATATAGGTCAGATCTTACCAAATAATCTATTTTTTATACCATTTACAAAGCATGATTAATTGTGTTTCTAAATGATCTTTCCTTCTTTTACCCTCAATAGATACCCCGCCGAAGTGATTTCGGTGAACACCAGCGGCAAGCACTTCCAGCGGATGTGTGCGGCGCGTAAGTCCACTAGCGGAGGATACGCTGCTGGCGCCACGGCCGGATCCTCGACCAGCACATCCCCGGAGAACGCCGGCCAGGCGGAGGGCAACAACCTGGACGACAATGTGCAGACAGTCAGCCGGAGGTCAAGGTCGCGGAAAGTGCGCGGCAAGCGGCGGAACACGATAGCCGGGATCGACCAGAAGGAGATCCAGGATGCGGCCAATGGGTACGTTATCGAAGTTTTCCTAAGATCTGTCTATATGTGATATAATATGGACACCTGTTACTTCCTTTCCCACTTTCGTTCGCCTCTCGAACTGTACATAAGCCATACTAAACCTCGTATAAACATGTGTACATACAGACACCTTGGAGAGGTCCCTGCGGATCTGCCCAGATTTCCCCCTCATTTACTCGTATTATCAGACTTATTCTCAATAGCATTTTCTTATGAGATTATTGTGATCAGCCCAGTTAGCTGAACGATTTGTTATGCTGTTTAGTTTTCTTCGTTTGCCTAATTTCGTGTATTTTAATTGCGCCTTTTATTGTTTAAACAAATGCCTGGCCGACTGTAAAAAACGAAGTTTTGCGCCATTAACTATTAGCGTATATATATATTGTTTGCCCAATTAGCAGCACAAATTGCATGCCACCAACTGAATGTCTCTAAATTACGATTAAACTAAAATTGAATGTTGTACAAAGAAAATTGTAAATAAATTGTGTTATTAGCTGTACGTAATTAGAAACTCTAGCCAAATTCAAATTTCAGCCGCCTTTTTTGCGAATATAAGTTCGAAACCGATTCGGCAGCGGAAACAAAAGCCTTTTTGGATGATTTTCAAAAGCGAGTTTGCAAACAGCCTAACAAATTAAACGATTTTCAGCAGCCACATAATGTACTATCCTAACACACATATACACAGTCATACACCTCATGATCCATCCGAGACACCCACCCATTCGCCGCCCCCGCATTCTTATCCTGGTCGCGAACCACCCACACACCTCCGCAACATTTGTTGCCAGCAACATTTGAGGTTGTTGGCCAAGTCAGTCAGTCAGTCGGCCCACTCTCGGCCATTTTTCCACCCCTCTGCTGCCCCGATGCCGGCGCATCATCAGCATAAATCATGCGAGAGGCTGGCTCCGTCGGATTTGCCAAGACCCAACGGCAACACGAGCCCGCAGCAACACCAAAAACACCAGAAACTCCAGCAACACCACCGACAATTGCCGCATTCGAGATGTTTTTACTTGGGCTCACTGCTTTTCCTGTGCTTTTCAAATGGCACACACGACGCCTTTTGCTAAAAGTTTCATAAATCTTATTTTGTTTTGTTGGCCCGACTTTCGGTTGCCGTCTGCCCACCAACTTCAACTCGGCGACGGCGTCATTCCATTTGACTGCGTTCTACATACTATACGCTATGCTGTATGTGCAACTTGAAACCCCAGCTCAAACACACACTAGCACTATCTTCGTATACGTGTGCCCCATTATGTCAATGCTGTTCGATATCTGGGCGATCGGCAGTCGAAAATGCGGAGCACAGCGAAAACTTTGAGCTCCTTGCAGTGGCTGTCAAACTGTAAGTGCATTTCGTGATTGTTTGTTTCTGTTTGTACACAAGGAAAAATTCTCAGATGTAAACATTTACATTTAATTGTTGAACCCAAACTAATTTTTGTTCGAGTAGAGCTCTTTTCAAAAGTAGTTCACCGAAACATCTTTCAAGCACATTTCTTCTAGAAAATGTCATAAATAAATAAAAATGTCTAGAGAAAACTTGAGTGAATCCATTAAAAAAAATGTTGTTTAGTGCTGACATTTTGGGTTCAACATAAAATTAATATTTTCAAAAGCCGATTATATTAATAAAAAAAAGTAAACTTTTTTCTTTCGGTTTACTGAGATACAGTGGAAATGTTTTAGCAATGAATGCACTTTGGGCCCCCCGCCCCTCCTTAAATCTCAGAGATCCCCTGAATTCAAGTTGTTTGCTGGCCCAGAATCGAAATGAGTCGCCTTCTTATCGCCAATATTGTGCCCCTCTCCTCTCCTCCCTATCGATCCCAGCATGCCACACAGTTGTGGGGGAAGAATTCTGAGGGATCATACCCACTCGAGAACTTGGATGTTGTAATCGCCAATAATAATCCACAGAACAGCGGCAGCAGAGTGGGGAAAATGAAAAATACAAATGTATTTGGGAAAATTAAACTTTGAACTGTGCCATTAATTAATTTTCAGTCCGTTGTTGTTGTTTTTCCCCCAGGCACGTCTTGTATTTTGCATCTGTGTGTGCGTGCGTGAAATTAACCAGAAACATAAATTTAAAACGAAATCAAAGTCAAAATCTTGTCTGAAAATTGCTCACAATAATTTTCATGAGGAAGGCAAATCTGTACCACTCATTCTCTCTGTCTCTATCACTCTCCCCCTTCATCTTCCACATGTCCATCCATCATTACCAAAAATGCTAACCAAATACCAAACATATTTTCTCTTTTATGTTCTCTCCTAAACACCAAACATTTTGCACACAAAAACAAATCAAACCAAAACCCACAAATAATTCCACCATGTAAAAACAGCAATGGGGAGTCCAAGAATGCCTCGAATGCCACCTCGCCGGTGGCCCAGGCTCATCAGCCGGAGTCCACCTCTGCGGATGCCAAGAAGTCCAAGAAGTTCGGACGCAGCAAGTCCAGCGACATCTTAAAAAAGGAATCTGCTGCCTTGCCCTACGACAAAGGCAAGAGCACCCTCACCCGTCTGAATTCCCTGAAGCAGTGGGGTCGCAACCGCTTCAAGTTCATGCAGCGCACCGGCGAACTGGGCGACCAGTTGGACACCAGTGGCTGCAGCTCCCAGAACAGTTCCGCGGAGAAGGCGGACAGCCATCATGGATCGCCGGCGGGCGAGAGTCCCAAGCGCGACATCGACGACGAGTGCGTGGTGCATCATCTGGTGGCCCAGAAGAGTGAATCTCGGTTTTCGCACGAACGAAAGCCCTCGTATTCCTCCTCGGAGAAGAGCATGAGTGTGTCCAGCAGTGGTCAGCTCAGGGGCAGGCTGCAGCTCTCCTCAGGCGCCGGTCCGCTGGCAGCGGCCCATGTGAAGATGCGGGAAACGGCCACGCTGAACAGGCAGCGACGGAACGGACTCCATGCTCTGGCTGGCAAGGAGGAGCAGCCCCATTCTTCGAGTGGCAACTGGAGTGCCAGCTCGGAATCGGGTCGCGCCTCCATTGGCAGCGAGATCACCATGCAGCCCAAGTCGAGTGCCTCGAGCACGTCCCTGAATGTGTCCAGTTTTCAGCCAGGAGGCGCAGGCAGTGGTCCACCGTCGTCCATGTTGAGCAGACGGCGGTTCCTGAACACCTCGGCCTCCAGCAGTGTGACCAGCGAAGGTACTGCCACCCCGGAACTTCAGGCGGAAGCGGGTGCCTATCCGGGCCATCTCGATGATGAGACGAGTTCCGCTTACAGTTGCGACACTGAGGGATACTACACCTCCTTCCACATGGACAGCGGATTGCGCACCCTGAAGGAGGAGGAGCCATCGCCCATGCCGGGAACTCCGCTGCAGACGAGCCTGCACACCAGCAGCTATTCCTTCGGTAGCCAGTCCAACCAGACGGTGCTCAATGCGGAGAGTGAGTACGAGCTCTTCGGCAGAGGATCCACTTCCACTACGACCAGTTCGGCCGGCACCGTGTGCACTGCTCTCCTAAGTGGGGCCGCATCTGGGCCGGATGTGCCCGAGCGGAGCAGCTCGCTGGGCAAGCACAGTGGTCAGAGCCGGAGCCAGAGCACCAGTGCGAGTAGCAGCACGCTGGAGAGGAGTTACAGCAGCAGCACCATTGGCAGCACTTTGGAGCGAACGGGAACGATCAAAAGGAATGTGAAACTGTCGCCGAACAAGGGAGGTGGAGAAACCCTCGAGAAGGATGGTCAGCAGGAGCAGGATCACCAGCAGCAGCTGGAATTCTCCGAGAGCTCTGACCTGGAGGGAGTGGAGCGCATTGAGCGGATTAAGCAAAAGACGGCGATTAGCTCCAAAAGAATACCGTCCATGTGCATCATCACACCGACCACCAGCGACGACGATGAGCACCAGGCCATGGATCCGAACCGCACGCTGACCAGCCTCACCATCGAGGTGGACCAGGAGCAGGAGGACGAGGATGAGCCCGAGCAGAAAACGCCCACCAACAGCAAGGACCACAACCTCAACGAGCTTAAGCAGACGCCCACGAAAGCGCTGAGCGGCATGTTCGAGAAGCTGAGGGTGAAACTGGTTCCGGGCAAAAGCTCTCCGGCAAAGAACCAAATCCAGCCCAAGCCCGCCAACGCGAGTGCCGTGAATGACGACGAGCTTTACGATTTGGCCGGCGAGTACGTCACCATAGCAGACATCAGCAACAACAATAACAACAACAATAACCGACGGAACACTGGAATGGGTATATACTATTCCAATGACATAGTTTCCAAGAGGGTTGAACCCTCCGCTGCCATCGTTTCCGAGTATGTTTCGCTGAACGAGCTGCCCCAGCACTTGCGTCGGCATGCGGTCTCGTCGAGATCTCCGTCGGAGAGCGAGTCCTGCGCACAACAACAGCCACAGCTGCCCGTTGAGCCGGCAGCTGCGACCCATCCACCACCACCCCTCGGCAGCAGGACGAAGGGCCAGTCGACGGGGGAGGGTGAGGGGGTGCCCATGTACGCGGAAATCGGCGAACTGAGCGAGGAGAAGCCGCTGGCATCGGCATCGGCATCGGAATCGGCATCGGCAAATCGCCGACTTCGCCCGAACGCCGAGGGGAAGTTGGTCTACGACTCCGACAGTCTGAAGCGGCGCAAGGGAGCACACACCACCTTCGCACCTGGGCCGTACGTGAAGGAAACCGAAAGTGCGCTCCACAGTGCAGAAAGTGCAGCAGCGGCGGCAGCAACGACACAGGACGACGCGGGAGCAGCGACAACAGGATCATCGGGAGCCACCACCAAGAGCGCCAAGCTCCTGCTCTTCAGCGGCGGCGGACTAATCGCTGGCAATCGCAAGGTGGCCAATGTGAGGCCCATTCTGGCCAAATCACCGCTCAGCAGGAACAACGGCGGAATGGCCACCTATCAGGCAACGGGTACCAGCTACCAGGAGCAGAAGCAACTACTGGCCAACCGCACGAATCCCTTCTACGAGACCATTGCCGCGCCCGTGGCCAGTCTGATGATGCCCTCGCCGTCGGGCAAGTCCAATTCATCGACGGGCTCCACGGCCACCAGTTCCTCCTCATCGGCATCGGGCCACTCCGGTGAAGAAGGTAAGCCAGAGCAGCATCCGTCAGCCAGCAGCTGCCCCACCTCCGCTTGCCCACCCACAATCCAGCCCGTATCCCTATCCACATCCACATTCTGTTCCCTTGTAAATAACAATGCTAGCACAGCAACGTCTGCTACGAGCACGAGCACCCTTAATCAGCACATAGCCAGCAAGTCAGCGGGCAGCATATCGAGTGTGAGGAGGCAGCAGCCCCATCATCCGAATCAGCATCAGAACCCCAAAGATGGCGAGTCGAAAGTGAGGGTTGCTGAAATGGAAACTAACCCCCTGGGGGATGCGTTTGAAGTGCCACCCCTGCCGCCGAGGGCGAAAGTAAACGACAAGCCCCCCACCAAGCCCCTATCGATTGACCCAATTGCGTTGCACTTTTCCATGGCTGGCAATCCCGGCCAGCCGCGCACCGCCCTCAAGCGGAACAACAGCTACCGGCTGGCCAACGATGAGCTCAAACTGGAGATGAACAAGGAGAATCTCTCCGTGTCCTTTGGCTCCGAGAGAGCAGCACCTAGTTCGGGTGCAATGCCCCTAAATTCGGTGCAGCACGCAACAAGTTCCCTCAGGCTGCGCAACCTGAGCAACCACCTGCCCGCCACCCACTCACCTGGCGGGGAGCGGCGGATAGCCAAGTCCTTCGAGCGCCTGGTGGATGAGTTCTCGCTGTCGCTAACCACAGGTAACGATTCCTCGTATCTGAAGAACAAGTCGCTCGAGAACTTCGATGACTCACCCGCCCTGTTGGCCGTGGCTTTGCCAGAACAAAAGCCAGACGAAAACGCCCCAGACTCCGAGTCCGAGGAGGATGAGGATGAGTTGGCCCCGCCCCTGTCCCTGTCCCTGCCAGCCCAAAAGTACCACAAGTCCTTTGTGGACAGTGTGCTGTTGCGTCCGTTCAAAATCATACTGCCCAGCGACGAGAATGGCAACCGTCGCCAGCGCATTTTACAGAAATTCGATGTTACCGAGATATGGTAGTTAGTCCTTTTCTTTTCTCGTCCCTTGAGCAGACACTACACAGTAATTGCCGAGATTGGCACGGCTCGAAGGAGCACCAGACCCTTGAGCCACCTAGTGTGTGGGCCTCATTAAAGTTGCATGCACTTGGCCAGACGTGTGCGTGTTCAATTGGCCAAGATGGGGGCCTGTCCTGGGGTTCAATGTCCAACCGCCCACACTTGATATGCTGTTCAAAGTCGTGCTTCTATTTTTAAAGTGAAGTTCCCTGAAACTTACCGCCTAACCAGCAGGCTTGCAAGACTAAATACTTTACTCTGTTTATACAGTTCGCACTTCAAAACATTTATACAAAACTATAATTTACTTTTTGTGACTGTCAAACTTTAATGCTTTCCAACCGTGTGTATAAACAAAGTAATATTGCCTTTTGTTTTTTAATTTATTTCCGCCAAATTGTTCTCCTTTAATCAGTTACTTAACTCCTTTTTTGTGTGTTTTTAACCTTATACTTAGTGATTAATAAATGTTAATTGTTTACTGATAAATACGTTTGTAACTAATTATAATTAACATAAACCAACACAAGATTATTGTACATTTGTAAAGTTTTTTGCACCGATCACGTCTTGTACATCGACATAATACTCAACTACCACAATTAGAACTTAAGTTTAGGTTCGCCCACGACTATGATGCTAATTTTTTGAGTTTTTTATTTCAAATTATCTACTCATTATCCAAAATGGACGGGTTGTGAGGCGTGCAAAAGACTTCTATTGCCTTTTCTAACCAGTTGCTTGTGTGTTTGTCTATGTTAAAGTATAGTGTAGTAGTAGTTTTTTGCACACTTCCTCCGACTAACGAATGATCAGTAGCAGCACGAGTAGTTTGAAAGATTAGCACATGGCCCTAACCAGTTAAGTTTTCGGCTAAGTTCAACCCACATTCCATAAACGAAATTCAATTTACCACCGATCGTAAGTAATGTTTTTACAAAAAAAGAGAATAAATCGAAAGAAACCGAAATTCGGCATTGACATTATCATTGGCATTTGGTCTGCGGTAAAGGAATCCCCATAATTATAGTCGAACCATCCCATTAAGCATCCACAACCACATTCGCATTTGCATCCCAGCACCCATGCACCATTCGGCATATGTAAATATTCGCTCAGCTCATTGGGATTTGGGGGATTCCCAGGTAATGTCATCCGAAACGCCAAGGTACGTATGGAACCGCTTGCCCCGAACGCTTGTTTTGTTTGATTACCCTAACGATCCGCACTTGAAACCGCTTACTAATCTCAAGAGGAATCTTGTTGTAAAAGACTCTAGTGCCTAATCCACGTTTACCTCCTCTTCCATCCTCAGGGTATCAACGTTTCTCTAATATCTATGAGCAAGTGCAGCCAGCACCGAGCACCCAGCCAAAGGAAGATGCTACTGCCACGCCCTTCCAGCGCAGTGCGCCCATCTACTGGACGCTGCAAAGTCGACGCAGCCAGCCAAGGCCACAGCCCACTGGCAACGTGACCTGCCGGGATGACCTCTATGCCACGCCCATTCGCCGGGCCGACCGACTGCCACGCCCAGTGGCTGTAGCAGCACCTGCAGCGGAGAGCAACAGGAGCAACATATCGCCAATCGTGCCAAGGAATCGGGCAGGAGCCTTCCTCACCTCCACGCCCACGAGGGGCGGAGAAGGGGAGCGAGATCCGGAGAACACCCAACTGCCCCCCATGAAGCAGCCATCGCGCAACTGGACCGACGATGCCCCCGAACGACTCAACACCTGTGCGGATCGCATTGGCCAAAGCAAGACCACGCTGATGGACTTCAAGAAGCTGCTGCTGGCCAAGTCCGCCAAGGCGAGCCCTGTCCAGAGGAAGGTATCCGCCGTGGAGCTGCTAAAGAAGTCAACCCAAGCCACACCAACCCCTCCCACTTCGAAAACTAGCGGAGCTGGGCAGAAAGCACCATCAACTGGAACCAAGCCCACGGTTAATACCAGCCTTAAGCTGCTGGATCTGAGTGGCTCTCCCAAAACGTTTGCCAACCGAAGGATGCTGCGCCAGGGTCAGTTTGGATCGCCCTCCAAGACCTTCGCCCCAAAGATGCGGGGTCCCGTGAATTTGGTGGCTGCTGCAGCGGCACAGCCTCGTACGGACATTATGTCGAGCACGATTCTGGAGGCGAATAGCGAAGAAGATCACTCCAACACCAGCGGAGGATCCCGGGCTAGTTCGGAAGCGGGCGAGACCACCGCACCCTCCAGCTTTGATCTAAAGCGAAACTTCTTCCTGCAAACCGAGGAGAACAACTTCATGCGCGGCGAACTGAAGCCCAGCTTTGCCAGGACAAATGGAGCAGCTGGTGGTGCCAGTGCCGAGGGCAACAAGTACGTGGCAGCTCCAGTGGCGAATCCTCCGCTGCCCTCTCTCGAAACGGCGTTGTAGAGTGGGTCCAACCCACTGCTGTAGCCAGCGATTATACATATTCCATAAGAAACATAATCGAGATGAGCAATTCCCTTCCGTAGCCAAGCCGAAACTGCATTTATTGACGGACGGAAACGAGTCAGAAGCGATGCTACTTTATGCAACATATACATATATCACTATATATACACAACACCTTTATACAATGAACTGTATTTTTTAAATTGTGCTGCTTGTATAAACGGAGATGTTTTATACACGAATACGAATCGTCTATACACCTACAATATATTTATTTGTAATTTTACGTTATTTATTGCAATTATGTATTACGCTACATGCATTGCTCTTTGTTTTGTAGTACAACTCTTGTACGTCTACGAACTGATGAGAATCGCTTAAAAATTAAACACATTGAATAACACACTTGGAAACACTTGGCAGTTTTTTTTGGAGGGTGTATTTACCTAGATGATACTCTAGTTTTGGGAAATATCCAAATATTTTATCTCAGCTACATACTATACGCTTGGGGGATGTTTTTTATAGCCTTAACATTACCGAACAGTTTAATCCGTAGCTAAAGTAATAAACAAAATAAAAAATAACCAATACAAATACAAAAATTAGAATACAATTGTTAAAATTGTTTTTATCTCCAATATAAATATATTATTTTAGACTATTTGTACTAAAATAATTGGGAATTTAGCTTGCAAGACTATAGGGCGCTGATAACCCGACTTAAATTTATAATAATGAATTGGTTCGTGTTATATTTGAGCTAATTGCGAAATTATTGTAATTGGATCGGGATCGTAATTACATTTATTTCTCTGATAAAGAGTGCTAGTACCATCTGGAAATATAATGCAGCACAAATATAGAATTGCTTATTTACTTGTCTTTTAAATCCAACTGCGTCCCACGCTGCCGGATCTGCGCTTGGTAGACTTGTCGCTTAAAGAACTGGCTGCTTGGTCCTTGCGTCCCATCACAGGCGAGCTTCCGGATCCGATGTTTCGGATGAGCAGCTTAAGGCCCCGGGCCTGGGCGTCGCTGGCCTGGCTCACGCTGTTCGCCTCGGAGGCAATGATGCAGAAGTCATCGACGATGTGGCCGGGCGGACTGATGTCGAAGGGCAGAATGTCGCTGAGGCTCTGCTGTTGGCGATAGACACTACGTCGCCGGGCGCCACCATCACCACCGCTGAGTGAACCTCCGCTGGTTCCGCTGGCAGAAGTTCCCGGCTGCTGTTGGGTTAGCTGGTGCAGTTCCTGCTGCAGATTGAGCAGGCGTGTTCGCAACCCGGCATTGTCCTCGCTCAGGCGCTGCATGTGGACTGCCTCCTGCTCCGCCCGCACAAATGTGGGCTGGGGCAGACACTGGTAGACGGTGGTCAGGAAGTTGCGCAGGGACAGGAGTAGCGTGTCCTGCCATTGCTTGGTGAAGAACAGGGCGAAGGTGGGCGACTCCTCGGCGTTCTTGCAGAAGGGAAAATCTGCAACAAAAGGAGGCTCGGGAATAGAACGTTGGCCAGCGGAATCTGTAAACTTAACCCACAGAACCAATCCTTCCACTCGCTCTGCTGCTGCAGCTCGCCAGCCATTTTGTTGAAGAACTCGGACACTTTCTCCGAACGATTGCTGCTGTAGGCGGTCACCAGGTAGTACTTTAGGAGGCTGTTTTCCAGTTTCTTGACAGCTGAAAGGGATTTATCATACATACATACATAGGTAAGCTATAAGAATAATGCTGGAGGAGTATGGATGTGCAGAACTTACCCACGGCGTAGGTGTGCTCCAGCTTGGAAAATATGTTGTTGTCCAGGTGGAACCACAGACTCCTTAGAGCCAGAAGGTCAGAATTCTGCACGGCATTATTAAATTGATCGAGAATCCTCTCCGCCCGAAAGTGCTGGTCCTTTTCCGTGCGCTGCTCCAAGTCGAGGGCCTTCAAGGTCCCAGAGAATCCACGGAAAACTAGGTATTCCCTCAAGAGATTGTCCAAAAAAGCGACTTGTGCCATTTTTGGGTTTCCTTCGCCTGTCGTTTTATAGTTTTTTAATTTAAATTAAGTTTTCCAATTTGTTTTAGTTGAAGATAAAGACAAACAGCTGGTAGAAGAGAGTTGCCAGATGTTGTAAGTTTGGATTTATTAAGAAATTTATTTATGGATTATATATTAATTAATGCTGAAATAAAATATAACTACTGAAATTAATGAACTAAATAAAATTTGCGACTTCTGAAAAATTCTTGAAATTTTTTGCTAAGTAATGTTAATTGTTTAAGAGACATTTTTGTATTTAATAGACAATAAACAGATAAAGGGGATCCTTAGTTTCTGTTTTTATTAAAAACAATGGGCAAATAAAAATTGTTAAAATAAAAATATGAAAATATTGAATCATATAGTTTTTTAAGCACATTGGTATATTTCAAACATTCCCGCGGTCACACTTATTTTGCGAGCACATTTTGTAAACATTAAAATCCATAGATATGCACAAACGACGAGCTCCCAAGTCAATAAATAAACCACCGCCAATTCAGGGACCAATCAAGAAACCCACGGCAGTGGCGGAACCGTCCATCGACGAGGACGTCGTGACCCAACTGGAAGTGGAGCTCTGCTGGTGCGTGGAGCAGTTGCAGAATGCGCTCGACAGCGGAAAACTAAGCCAGAAAGCAGCCGAGGATACCGCCAAAAACCTGAAGATCCTGAAAAGCTCAACAGCCCCGTTAATAAGGAAGCGCCAGGTGATGAAGCTGTCCATGGGCGACTACCGATCGAAGATGCAACAGGAGGAACAGAAAATGGCGCTGGCCTCCAAGCAAATCAAATTTACTCCAGCCACTGACACAACCACCAAGTCCAGCTTCGTGAAAAAATCTGCGCTTTTGACTTCCGGAAAGGACTTCCGCTTCGACTTTGCCCTGATCGCCGACGACCCTAATACAAAGGAGGCAGATCCAGCTCCAAAGTTGCAGCCTTCTTTCCAGGAGAGTTCCGGAAGCCCGTTCAAGTTCAACTTTTCCATTGAAGAAGATTCCGCTAATGATATTAACTTTAATGGCTTAAATTTAAATAACTAGTTACAAATGAATGGCATGAAAGACTGACTGCACTTACTAGTGCCGTTGTGCCACTTTCTACTTCGCATCCAAATAAAACGTTTATTATAAAACAATTGTTCATTTTTAAATTAAATATTTTATTTCCGTTTGTATAATTGAAAGAAAGTAAGAAAAGTAAGAATAAGAAATGAGTTTCCAAAAACCCGGTGCTAATTTTGTCCTTAAGGAATTGACACTATTAAACATTTTTTTTGTAATTAGCAATTTTAAACGTGATAATCAAACTTTCAAATATATTTGAAACAAAAAAGAAAAGCTAACTTCGGGCGGAGCCGAAGTTGATATACCCTTGCAGAATATTCTGTAAATTATATTCTCCAAAACTATTCATATGATGCATTCTTAATAGTCATAAAAAATCCCAACTTTCCTAACTTTAAAAACACCAAAGTTATGGCATTACTAACCGTTCAGTTATATAGCAGCTATATGATATAGTTGGCTGATCCTTATGAAATTTCGTAGGTCGGATTGATTGGCTAAAAATAAATAGAAAATCCCAACTTCCTAACTTTAGAAACACCGAAGTTATGGCATTTCCGAACAATCAGTTGTATGGCAGCTATAGGATATAGTCGGCCGATCCCGGCCGTTCCGACTTATATACTGCGTGCAAAGGAAAGAAGGGTGTGTGCAAAGTTTCAATTTCTGTTTGCCTAGAAACAGACAGACGGACATGCTTATATCAACTCAGGAGGTGATCCTGATCAAGAATATATGTACTTTATAGGGTCGGAGATGGCTCCTTCACTGCGTTGTACACATTTGACCAAAATTATAATACCCTCTGCAAGGGCATAAAAATAAATTAGGAAAATTAAGAGTTTAACCTTTCTCTGAATTCGCAAAATTTTGTTAATGTTATTTAAAAGATGTATTCCTAAAGAACATCAAAAATTCAATAATCATCAACATGATTATCTGATCAATCTGAATCATTTTATTCAAAAACGATGACAGAAAAATGTATTTGTTGGGGTAGTCTGCGACGATTAATACAGTGATAATTAACTTATCCCGCCCAGTGTTTTTGGCTTTTATTTATAGCATCGCAGAGAGCACTTCCATGCTATATAAACGTATATCGATCATGTCGGAAGACGACGGATTGCATGGGAATTGCTCAGTTCGCTCTGAATCGCCAAATGGCCAACAACGCCCGCATCGAACACACGTCCTCCGAGGGACATGAAGGGGATGCCACCTGCGTGGCGTACTTCGATGGGCAGCTGTTCTCCGGAGGCGCTGACGGTAAAATCCGAGTGGGTATCTGATGCCTCTTAATCTCCCCCCTTATAGACCCGTTCCCTTGCAGATCTGGTCACCGGAGCTGCAAATACTGGCCACTGTGAATGCTCACGAGGCTTACATATACTGCATGGCCATCAACCAGCACGGGAAGGTTTACTCGAGCAGTTGCGATGGCCAGGTGCACTACATGCTACCTCCTTATGGAGAGGAAGCGGTGAAGGAGCTATTCCGCTGCGACAACGCCATCCAGGCGATGTACTGCGACGGATCCGTGCTTTATACGGGAGATGACAAGGGCGTGGTGACCACCTGGAGCAACGACCGCATGCTCTTCAAGTACAACCTGGTGGAGGAGGTCAAGTCTCTGGCCGGCGAGCAAAAGCTCATCTACACGGTTCGCGACCTGGACGTGGTGGTTTCCCAGGTGGCGGAGGGCAAATCCGGCAAGTACAGCAACAAGGCTGTGATCGCAGGCAAATCGCCTCTTCGTCTTCTTGGCCCACTGGTAGATGGGAAACGAAGTTTTCTCGTCTTTCCCGATCGGTCTGGGATGGGTTTGCAGCTGGTCAACAATCTTCCGCAGCAACAGTATGCCCAAGTTTGGCACATGCCGGTGAGTTTTCTATAAGAGTTCCTCCAGATCTTATTATGAGCATGGAATTGATCATTAATCCAATTATAGGACTGCCACGAGTGGATCGTAAACGCCATTTGCGGGGATGAGGCCTATTTGTACACTGGCGGATACGACAAAAAGGTCAAGGCATGGACCGATCTGGGATCCGCACAGCCAAAAGCCCTGGGCGAGGTGGATGTGGGCAGCTGGGTAAACAGCATGTGCTGCGGCGACAACAACATAGTGTATATAGCAAGCAGCGATGGATTAATACATAGCGCAAAGTTTTTATAGTTTCAAAGCCATCTTGTCATCTCAGAAAATAGGAAACGATTTATATGGTAAACAGAATTTATTAAAGACCAGAATAAAATTAGATTCATTTTATAAACTGGCCTTGTACTCTTGTCTGTTCTCCAGGCTGTCAAATCCCACCTGGCCCTCGATCCAGCTCGCCACAGTGAGCAGTAACTGCTCGTTGAGGCTATTGCTCATCAGCTGAAGACTCAATGGCAATCCAGCCTGGGACAATCGAATAGGTATGGACACGGCGGGAATACCAGCCATGTTGGCAGGCTGAGTGCAGAAGTCCTGCACCGCGCACTGGTCCCGGTTTGTCAGGGAGGCGAAATCCTTGTAGAGTGGAGCCTCTGTAAGAGTTGTCGGTGTGAGGAGGATGTCCACGTGATCCTCCTTATCAGAGGCCTCAAAAACTTTTACGAAGTCCTCTGCGATCAGGCGGCGTACTCGCAACGCCTTCTCAAAGTAGTGTTCGTAGTTCTTCCTTAGTAGGAGGAAGTTTCCTGTAAGGATGCGTGTCTTCACCACCTCGTTGAATCCCTCGGCTCGGGAAAGAGCGTACAACTGCTCCGTGCTGCGCTCGTCTTCAGCCCGATGGCCATACTCGATACCGTCGTACCGGGCCATATTGCTGGCCACCTCGCACTGATTGAGGATGGAGTACACGAATATACTTGCAGCCGTATTTGGCAACGAAACCTGTTGCACGCAGGCACCGCCACACTCCAGAAGATCTGCCACCTTGGACCACGTTTCCAGCACCTCGGCGGACAGGCCCTGACAGTGATATTCCTTTGGTATCCCTATACGCACAGTGCTCAAGTCGATTTGCCCGATCTCCGGCAGTTTCAGCCTTGTGAACGGGTCTCTGATGGTAGTGGAGTCCAGTCGATCCGGTCCAGCCACTGCGTTAAGTACCGCAACGCAGTCGCTGACGGAGCGGGCGAAAATGCCAGGCACGTCCATTGAGTTGACCAGCGGGATGAGGCCGTGGCGGGAGACCAGGCCATAGGTCGGTTTTAAGCCCACCACGCCGCAGTAGGAAGCGGGATTGCGGGTAGAGCCGCCCGTGTCCGAACCAATTGCACTAAAATTGATAAGTTAATAAAAATATCTTATAATATGTTATGCGAAAGGTGCTCTATAATATCTCAAAGGACCGCCGTACAAAATGAGTTGCTGTTATAGAAGCCAACCTATTGTCTACCCCATCCAGATATAACTTTCTTTTAATTGTATCCTTCGAAATTTCGCTGTAAAAATTAAGTTTAAAACGTTTTAGATATTTTTATTAAAATATGCAAAACTTTAGGAGTAACGGTTATAATTTAAATTTATAACATTTTTGGTACGGTTCGCTTAAAAATACCAAAAGAATACCGCATCGACTGGGCAGCCCCATCGGCCAGCTGACAAATAGAGACGAACGTTCACACTGCGCAGCTGTCAGAAGTCGAGCGATCAAGGGAAAACTCGATTATTTACCAAATTTGCGACTTAAACTGCTGCCCAGAAGCGATGTCTGCGCTCTTCCGTCTGACCAGCCGCGCTGTGGCGCTGCAGCGATCCCTGGTGGCCAACCAGGCGGCAGTCGTCCGTGCTATCAACACGTCCCCGAAAAAGGATGAGACAATCACGGCCCCCACTTCGCTGACAACGGAGGACTTCGCCAATCCCAGTCCCAAGAACTGGCAGAGCTATGGATTCGACTACAAGGACCAGGTGGAGGACCGCAAGGCCACCAAGTCGACGTTCTTCTTCACGGTGACGCTGTGCCTGGTTTGGGGCACCTTCTACTGGGCCTACTTGCCCGACACCCAGTTCCGCGATTGGGCCCAGCGCGAGGGCTTCCTGGAGCTGCGCCGCCGCGAGCAGGCCGGCTTGGATCTGGTCAGCCCCAACTACGTGGACCCCGCCAACATTACGCTGCCCTCGGACGAGGATCTGGCCGACACGGAGATCATCATCTAAACATTTAGTGCCCCTATCCTTAGTCTGTTATGTAATGCGAATGAGAAGCGCGGCCAGTGCGTATCCGCATCGTTGCCCGTTAATAAAATTGCAAGTCTCGGCGTGGACAGAGCTGGCAATTCGTCCTTTTGTGATTATTTTCTTTTAAATATGCTACTTATCCCTCCCAAGCCAATTGAGGTTATGTGGTCAAAACATAAACAAGATATACTCACGCATAACAAAGACCCGCGGCCACGGCGGATGCAGAGCCTCCGGAGCTGCCGCCCGCGATGCGCCAGTTGTCCTGGTCGAGGTCCTCGCTCCAGATATTCTTGGTGGGTCCGTACAGGGAGTCCACAGTTCCTGCGCCCATGGCAAATTGATCCATGTTGGTCTTTCCTAGGATTATGGCGCCAGCTTTTTTAAGCTTGGCGCAGACAGTTGCATCATAGGGAGGTACAAAGTCCTGAAGCATCCTGGCAATGAGGAATTTAAAATTAATAATCCTGATTTGGTGGTTTCCTTCGTTACTACCTCGAAGCACAGGTGGTGTGGACATCCCTAGTGCAAAAGTTGTCCTTTATGGCAATGGTTACTCCGTCTAGGGAGCCACTTTGCTGCTTTCGCTGATAGCGCTCCTCCGAGACCTGGGCCTGCTGAATGGCCTGTTCCGGGGTGAGACGCACAAAGGCGTTCAGGGTCTTCAACCGAAGTGCATCCTCCAGGGCCTGCTCCGTAACCCGGCGAGGAGACAACTGGCCATCCGCATAACTGGCCGTTAACTGTTAGATGTCTTGGTTAATAGGAGATTCGGTTGGGTGATCAATTAACCCACCTTTTTGATGCTCCACTGTAAGTGACGCCGCATTCTTGTTAGTTGGAGAACAACGGGCTACGATTTTATTTACCCAATTCTTGGGAAGCTATCGGCGGAAGAGATCATAACAAACAAATTCAAGTTGCAAGAATGGTGCGATTATCTGGTATTTTTATTTTTGGCAGCCAAATATCTGGTAACACCAAAGCTCAGAGGCGTTACTTAGGGAATTAACAAAATAGACATAAGTTACTTAAAAAACTTATAGTTTTTGAATGAAGTATTCTTCGTAACTTTTGTACAAAGTCAAATTTTCAAATGAATATTCATAGAATGTGTATCATATAAAAATAAATCTGAAAAGTGTTCATTAAAATTTAGTTACAATTTATTCAAGAAATGATAAGCATAAATTAAATAATAAATTTTGAACGCTTTAAAATTATTGTAAACAAACCTATTGTTTTCACCAGAAGCTTGCTTGCAGATTGACCCCCAGCAAACAATGTTTTGTGGCTACGCCACTGCAACCGGCAGCTGTTATTGATTAGAGGAGCGATAAAAGTCCAGCCAACTCAATATTTGACAATAGAACAAGCTCGAGGTGCTTTAACATTATCTAACATCAATCAATCGCTTGAAAACATCTTGAGGGCCTGTAAATAGCGGGCAAAGAGATCCCAGGAACACCAATTACCAAGAACATGGCCAAGCTGGACGAACGGATCGGCTTCATCGGGGGCGGAAACATGGCCTTTGCCATTGGATCGGGACTCGTGCGCTGCGGGATCGTCAAGGCCAGCCAGGTGCTGGTCTCAGGTCCCCACATCGAGAATCTGCAGCGCTGGCGGGATTTGGGCGCCGTCACCAGTGATGACAACTGTGAAGTTCTGGAGCACACGGACATCGTCTTCATCTGTGTCAAGCCGCACATGCTCTCGCCCTGCGCCGCCCAGCTCAAGTACAAGCACGTGCCGTCGGCTAAGGATGCCAGCAAGCTGATAGTTTCGGTGTTGGCTGGGACCAATCTCCAAACGTTACAGGAGGAGTTCGGCTTCATGGGCAGCTCCGATGTGAAGATAATTCGGACCATGCCCAACACCTCCATGCAGGTGGGCGAGGGCTGCACCGTGTACACTGGCAACGCTCGCGTCTCCCATCACGACCTGGAGAAGATTCACCTAATGCTCAACGCTCTTGGTCTGGCTCAACAGGTACCAGAAACCATGATCGACGCCGTCACCGGAGTGGCGGGATGCGGTCCGGCCTTCGTCTACACCATCATCGAGGCACTCGCCGATGGCGGAGTCAAACAGGGCGTGCCGCGCCAGATGGCCATACAGTTTGCGGCCCAAACGCTGCTTGGAGCGGCCAAGACGGTGCTCCTCACCGGCAAGCATCCGGCGGTGTTGCGAGATGAAGTCTGCTCGCCCGGCGGTTCCACCATTGTGGGCGTCCACGAGCTGGAAAAGGGAAACCTCAGGTGGGTGGCACTAGGGCAGTCTATAAGATCTTTGTTATAAAATTCCTTGCTTTTAGGGCTACTTTGATAAACGCAGTGGAGAAGTCCTCGCAGCGTTCTGCTGAACTGGGAAAGAAGTAAATCTGCATGTACTCCGGATCCACATTTGCTCTCTACGAATAATTAAACACTTGGTATTGATATTACTATTATGACTAACATAAAGCTTGCGTTTATTCGCGATCTTTTTTGCTGACGTACTCCACGCACTTTGAGGGATCGGTTGGGAAGTACTCCTGGCACTTGGTCATCAGTCGCTTGAGACCTTGGATGTACTTGCGCTGCGTCTCGTCATTCATCACGTGGGCCACGTTCTTGGAGAAGATCTTCTCGCGACCTGTACGAGCGTGAATGCCCACCATGGTGACGCCGATGGGCCACGGGGCATTTCCGATAGCCATCTCCAAATAGGCATCACTGGCAGTTATGTAGTTGCGGTTGAGCAGGTGCTTGCAGATGTCTCTCAGACTGTCCAGGATATCCTCGGGCAGGGTATGGTGCTTTAGTTTGCGGAACAGCGGCTTTACGTACTCCTTGGTCTGCGTGTAGATGACACGGGTCATCTTAACCTTGGTGGACATTTTCTCGTGCTTGCTGTAGTTGGCGATCTGATCATTCCAGAGCTTTAGCAGGAAAGTGAGCAGAGTGATGATTACGTCCATGTCGTAGTCCTTGTTTCGGCCCATTTTCTGGGCCATGGTCTGTATACTCTCCCACGACACGGACTCGTCCAGCTCGGCGAAGTCCGACTTTTTGTCCTCCTTGGTGGTGGGTGCGTTGGCGAACATTTCCTGCAGATAGGCGGCGTCCACCTGTTCCATGGCCTCCTGGAAGTCGTTACGAAATCCGCGATTCGCCTCGGGCTGCGAGATCTCGCACTGTCTCAGTCTGTCGAACGCCTCTGGCTCTGTTTCCCCGAATATTAGAATAGGTTCACCACGCTCCCTAAGCCGCCGTATGACCTCCGTGCGCGGCAGAATGTTCTGGCCATCGGCCACGAAACTGTAGGCTCCCTCGGTGATCTGCCCTTGAGCTTCCACGGACTCCTGCTTCTTGTAGCCCACCTTTTGCAGCACCTCCTCGGTATCCTTTGCGTTCAGATCGCCGCGTCTGAAGTACTTCTTCTTGTCGTCCACCAACTGCTTCTGCTCCAGCAGCTTACGTTTGCGGGCTATTTCTGCTTTTAAGATATCCATTTAGCGGGGAATTGTTAATAACAATATGGTGTAAACAAAACAAAACAGAATGCAAGATTTTATAGTGAGGCCAGACTGTGCCAAATACTAGACCACATTACACTTGCAGTCACGATAATAACAGCTGCTTCTAATAGTGAATAATTTATATCACTAAAAATTATTTTTATAAGCTAATTATAATATATATTAAAATCTATTAGATGTAATAATTTTAAGACGAAAATATTTGTTTTCATAGAACAAGAACTTCAAAGTCAAGCAAAAAACTTTTATTGAAAGAAGATTATTTCCGTGCTTCAGCTATTCCATCAATCAATTTTTTTAGTATTTGTTTAACACGCTACATAAGGATGAACCTTAAATAATAATAATAATTTTTACAATTTTTATTTACATACGTATCTTATTTTTTAGTAGTATGTATATTTACGGTACATTTGTGACAATCTAGATTTTACTAAGTCATTTTATGGTTCCATCTCTGGTCACACTGGCCCCAAATCAATAAAAAAAATAGACAATATTTTATTTTAGAACAGCACTTTTAAGGACACCATGCCAAAGAAAATGGGAATAAACTCGAAGGCGTTGGAGGCCCGAGAGCGCAAAGAGGCCACCAAGAAAGCCACGCAGGACAAGAAAAGCAAGGAGGCAGAGGACCGCTTGTGGAAAGATGACGACAAGAATCTGGCAAAAAAGCAGCAGCGGAAGGACGAGGAGGAACGCAAGAGGACGGAGGCGGCCAAGCGAAAGGCGGAGGCCAAGGCGCTACTAGACCAGGAGATGAGTTCGATCAACACGCAACGGAAGCAGCCGCTGGCGAAGATTAACCGCCAGCAGATTCTGGAGGAGATCGAGAAGAAGCAGCGTGTGATCGAGGCGATCAACGAGGCCAACAAACCGGCGGCCACGCGAGTGGTGGTCCAAAACCACGTCGAGGAAAATTTGAACCGATCTATGGCCGACACGGATGTGGCCTCCAACATTGACGAGGCTCTGGTAGTGCTAAGGTGGGTTCTCCTAATGGCACCTTTTGAAAATGACCCAATATATCATTATATTAATTACAATTATAGTGTAAATGACAACGAGGACGACAAGCATCCCGAAAAGCGAATGCGAGCCGCCTACAAGACCTTCGAAGCCAACAATCTGCCCCGCATCAAGGCTGAGAATCCCTCGCTTCGCATGTCCCAGTGGAAGCAGCTGCTGATGAAGGAGTGGAACAAGTCCCCGGACAATCCTTTCAACCAGGCTCGCTAAATGGTTAAAGGACGAATTTCACCGACTCATCGACGAGTGTGCGTACTCTAGTGACTGTTTGCTGCCTAGCAGCAAAGACTTATCAAATAGTTTCCAAACACCTTTAAACTATGCGCAGAATTTAGTTTATACATAACATTGTGGACGGAATAAATGTATTTATTTATTTAAGCCCAGTGAGTGGAAATTGTCTAACTGGGGGCAGGGGCTAAGTAATTTTTATTTTTATTTTTACAGAGCTTAAATGAATTTCTTTCTGATTGAGTCATTCCTGCGTAACTTATATTGCTAATTTATTAGTATTTATCAACTACTTTTAAGTTAGAACAATTATAACCATTATGGTTATTAGCTTCTAAAATCAGCTTGTTTGTTTAATTATTATTGATATTTAAAAACGGGACAGATTTAAGAACTTCTTCTAAGAACCGAGTACTAAATTGAGTTGATTCTAAATACTTTTTTATTTTGTTTCTTTGTTTCTTTAATGCTTGTGGTTTAAATTTCTGATCTATATTACTTTTCAAGCACATTAAAGAGAAATTACAGTTTCGTTATGCAATAAATTAATAGATTTATTCCAAAATCGGGCGAATAAACATAGCAATGGAGTACTTTGGTTTTGAAGTGATAACCGACCGCTTTCGTCCACTTATTTAATGTCCAATTTTTATTCGCCACTGCCTCTCAAAACTTTGTGGCCCTGATCCGATTCCGGTTGCGTTTCTGAATGAAGTAATTATATGTATTGCTTTGATTGCTGTTGTCGTGCCAGCGTTTTGTCCATCACTTTTTTCAGTGGTGCAAAATACAGAGAATAATAAGTGCTTCCGCTTTCACTGTTTGCTGCTTGGAAGTTCGGTGGCGTTTTCTGAGCCAGAGCCACCAAAATATTTCGGTTGGATCGTACAAATGCACGTAACATCGGCCAGGTAAGTACGAGCTTAAAGTCATTAGGCACCTCTTTTTGCGCATTAAATGTGATTTTATATAAGATTTTAGGGCTTAATTGAGCGATTTTCCAAATAAAAAGTTTCTAGCTTAATAGCTTGCCTTGGTCAACTTTCATTTGGGAAACCAATTGCTACCTAGGTCCAAGCTATTGTAGTCGCAGTACGCATTAAAGTTCTGCCTAGAAACTTTCTTACTCAATTGAGACATTATTCTGTCAATGGTCTTCCATCTAACTTTCTTATCACTAGACCCGAAACAGTTATCGCTTTTATTACGTACACATAAGATGGCCCTCGGAAGCGGCTCATAAATATTCGGATTGCATTAAACAATTAAAATGTTCCACTGCAGTAAATTTGATTTTTGAATCTCCACCACCAGTTAAAACTTAACAGAGCGACTGTTAACCGTTTGCAACCGCTGGCAACCGCTGGCAACTGTCTTACCTGTTGGCTGCTGTCGCTGGCAGTGCTTTCTTTTTAATAAAAATTTCTTTTGTCGCCGCGCAACTTCATTCAGTGCCAGGCCGTCGAAGGCAGCGGTCGCGTCGTGGTCTTCAGACACTTTCGTGAGAGAAATGCAAATACCAGAAATTCAATATTGAACGCGAGCCGAGAGAAAAGAAAAGTGTGAGACGTGTTTGGAAAATCGAATCGAATTTCGTACGGCACCGTCAACGGAAATCGCAACAACGGTAATTGGTGTGTGTGCTCGGTCTCAATCATTCCCTGTGAGTGAGTGCCTGTGTGAACTTTATTGGTTTTGAAACACAACCAACTAATTGTGGAATATTTTGGGCCACTTGAGCCAAGGATATCAGCGGTTCAGAGCCAGTTTGCGGGTAAGATTTGTGGGTTAAGCGGTTAGGAATGCTTGTCGGCCATTACGGTTGCAGCTAATTAGCATGCTGCACTCGACAAAGCACACAAAAAAGTGTAAGCTGCAGCGGGTTGCTGCTGGTCACCAGCTGGAAATCAGGGCAGGCCCAGCAACCCACACGAGTTCGTGCCTTAAGTCTTTTGTTTGGCGTCTTGTTTTTTGTCGCCGGCCCTTGCACTTCTGCAAAACAGCAGACGGCAAAAAAGTTGCTCAGTTTTTTTGAACCAGAATAATTATGTACGCAATTGCTGCCAAGAGTCGGCTTTTTATTTTAGTCTAGATCTCGGCATGGCTTACTTTCATCCCCATCAAATTTGGTTGACCTACAAATCGTGGACTACATGTTAATTGACGTTAACTTGTTTCCGCGATTCCGCATTCTGCCAGCCAAAAAAAATGTCAGGTTCATTGACCAACGCCTGGCGTTATGTAAAGTACACAATAATTGAATTCTGGTAATGAATTCACACTTTGCATGGGATCCGATGGTTTGCGTGTCGGCGGCTGTTATGCATTGCCCGCGAATTATTCAATATACAGACGAGGAGATAATGAGATCAATTGGCAGCCAACCGTTAGTTAATTTATTACTTTCTCAAAAGGTCGGAACAGCGTTCCCAATAGGCCACTAAGGAGCCAGCCGCCTGATTTATAGCCATCGCCAGCGACCCAAATTGGCTGGCAAGCCAGAATCATACTATATGCTTAGCTATGCCAGGCCAAACATAAGCGGAATCAGAATCATAAACAGAATAAGAACTTGGAGCCAACCCATTTACTGGATGGCACGCGCGGGCGCAGTGCGGCAAATAGCAATTTCTATTGGAGCAGCTATTGCAATTACAACCCAGCCAGCTGAGCCAAAAAGCCAAGTGACCATAAAAGAGCGGCCAGAGGCAGCAGGCCTAAACCGAATTACCTACGAGTGTTCCCCACTCGAGATCTGGCCATTTATGGGCGCCTCTTCTTCTGCCGAGGAAGTCACACTCCGCCACCAAAAACGAACTGACAGCCTTGAAAGATTTATTGGCTGCCCAGATCGGCGACGTGCAGCGATTCTGCAAATGGGATACATATACATCCATCGGCGAACATAGTCAATCATCGCTCGCTTATCTGCCTTATCGCTGCTCTCTGAATTTGTCTTTCGACTCGTGCATCCTCAGCACTTTCCTTTTTATTTTAGCCATTGCGGTTGCCCGCAGCTCGTGCTTAGTTTTTGTTATACAGTGGACATAATATAACTGATTTCAAGTATTTTCCACATCAAAAATAAAATAAATAAAGGAATAAAATTAATTGCTTGAAAACTAAACATAAAATAGTTATCAACATATTATATGCTCATGCTTAAAATGTTAATTTTTTCTGTGTACCCGGAGTTTCGGCCAAGCATTATTTAGCTGTCACTCAACGAAGCCCGCTTCTCTGTACGCTTTTTCTTCAAATCAGCACTTGAGCAGTTTCCATTTGATGGCTCGGACAGTACTTTAATAATAGCAATTCCATTGTAAAATTCATATCGTTGGCGCATGTGTGCAGTGCATAATTTCCTCGCTTTGTGCCATAAGTTGTTGTAAATTTCGACTCGCCGTCGTCGACTTCATTAAAACTAATAAAATAGCAACAAATTCATGTTTTGGAGAGTGTGTGTGGCATTTGAAGTGCCCGGCTTGAACTTCACACTCTGGCGGCAAGCTGAAATTTCACCATTTCTCTTTGAAGAACCTGCGAATGCGTATTATTATAATTAAGATTTCAGGCACGTTGCCTTGACTTTCATTGCCATTTTTTAGACGCGGTCAGCGGCTATTTCGGTTTATTGATTTTTTAGTTTTGCTGCTTTTATTTATTTGTCTTCTTGCTGAAGGAATTCCGCCTGTTTTGGCCAATGAGGTTATAGTTATTCATTTCTATATGCTAATCGGCACTTAGCATGTGGGCGTCACTTTCTATCTTGGCCAGCGAGAGAGCGGAAATCCGATCACGGATTTCCTTGGTCTGTGATTGCTTTTGGTTCACGGGAATTCGCTCGAAATTTCATGGGATTGCAACACTCGAATGATTCACGAGGCTTTGGCCAAGGAGTGTGCTCTTGCCAACATTTGTTAACGTTAACACCGGGCAACAGGCCGCCGGGATTTATGAGTGTGTGTGGTGTGGCCAAGAGCGATTACGCACCTTAAAAAGTGAAATTTATCGCGTTGTTTTGTTTCGCCTCTTCGTTTTTTGGCAGAAAGAAATGCAAATTAATTTGAATGACTAAGACGGCGGCGATTTTGGGAATGGTAATACCTGAGGCCATTAAAATGGAAACTGCCTAAGGTCGAGAAAATGACTCTCGTTTAACACGACAAAAAAAAGCGATGATTAGTTACGTTAAAAGACTCTGATGAAACTCTTAATCTTCCAACTAGAATATTAGATTTAAGTTGGTGAAAATTTCGTATTTAAAATACTAAAGTAATTAGTAAAGTAAAGCAATTAGTAAGTTTTTTAAAGGCTCTAATATGTTATTTGGTAATATCCAAATATATGCAAAAGCTTCTCAATAATTAAATAAACGTATTAAAATTACACAGTCCATTTTTTATTTGTGTAATTTTGCATTTGAATACAACTGGGATTGGCGGGCCAAAAGCATAGGGTTTCCGAACCCAAGACCAGCCTTCGTCCACATTCCAGTCGCAGTCGCAGTCGCCATCGACTGTTTGTCCAATGATCGTTAACGGGGTCAGCTGTGCTACGTACACGGGTTTCAGCCGCTTCTCTCGCAGCCGTTGTTGGTTTATTTTGTGGTACCTCCGCTGGGTATTGGATATCTGGTATCTGCCTGGCTGATTCACCGAAAAAGAAGAAAAACAAAACGAAACGTAAGGCAGACCGGCGGGCAGGAAGGCTGCCTTCCTCGGTATTTGGGATTACAAGTTGCCTCATACTGCGGAAAGCGGTGCCAAGGGGGCAATCAAAAATTTCACTGATTTTAATTATTTTTATTTTGCGTCCTACCGTTCTGGTTTGGCTGCTCTGCCGCGTGTGCGTTTCTTTTGCTTTTGGATTGCTTTGCGGTTAAAGTTGAGGCGTAAATTCGGTAAGCCATAAATAATTCTCTCTGGCGCCGCACCACATCCAGCCGCAGCACCACCGGAGCAGCACTCAGAAGCTGAGCGAGAAATTTTTGGCTGCCAAAAGTGAAAGTTGCAGCTGCTGCTGGCCGTGCCATTGAAAGAAAGAAGAAATGTAGGAAAGCGCCGAGGCCCCTCTCCCCATCGTTCGGATACGAAATCAGCTTGCTAGAGACAGTTTAAAGTCGGGTCTTAGGGTCTGGGCTCCAGATTGGCCCGGGTGTCTGTCTAATGACTTAGCTGGCTGCTCTTTGTCAACATTGGCCGCAGGGGGGAATTAAGCATTTTCGCTATTATGTGTTTCGTTTTGTCGTCGTAATTATGTTTACCACGCTTTTGATTGTTACTATTTCTGTGCCATTAAAAATTACACCTAATTGCGGTGGTCCGTAATGGACGTGGGACTTTTTCGGGGTGTCTTCCTCCAGCCAGTGACACTTGGTAGCGGGCGGGAGACGGGGAAAGTTATGGTGTTTATGCGCTTTGCCAGCATGATTGTGGGAACCTCGGGCGAAATGAGTTAATCAGAGACCAAGCCGAATTGTGTAATGTGAAAGCAAAGTGCGGCAGGGAAGTGATTACATTAATCCGCCGACTTCCTTGCCCAGGAATTGGGTCAGAATTTGGGCAGCGGTCGCTGAACCGCAGAACGCCTTGGAATGCGGCGGCCATAACTCGTTTCAATATTTAAATTTAATTAAATTAGCACTTTCTACCCGACAAGAAAGCCGTGCCTCACATATTGAATAATAATTACAAACAATTAGCACAGTGACCCAGATGCGTAAATTATGAAAATGAAAATGCATCGGTGGCCGCCCAGAAATTCCTTCGGCGGCACTCATAATGGAAAGTGGCAATCAAGAGCGGCTCAAATGTGCAATGAAACCGCGTTCGCATATTCAAAGACTTGTTGACAAGAAGTTTGTGTCTTGAGTCTTTCGTTTGCCTCACACATTTCTTTGAGCGCGTGCTCTTTCAGCAATCGAGCGATGACAGGTTTTTATTTGGCATTTTGGGTTCTTCAGGAGGATGCTCAGTGGCTTCTGCGTGTGCTTTTCTTCGGGTTGTTCTTTTTATTAGCATACTGATAAAAGCGAACTTGCCCGTTCGTTAGTGTGTGAGCCGTGGACATTAAAAAATGATGGAAAGAGCAAACAAGTTCCTAAATTGTGACCCAATTACCCAGTTAGCCAGTCTGTTGATACAAGTTCTACTTGGCCTTATGAATTACGACCCATCGGCGAGGCATGCAAAATTGAGACGAATGAGCGCGGCATTTGCATAACACTTTGTCTGCCTTCAAAGAACACAAGAAAGCACAATTACTGGCCAATTCATTGACAATTGAAATGAAAGTTGGTAGCAAAACGGTCGGCAGTTAAATGGCCAGGCTCTAAGATCGGAGATCACTCACCATTGTTTCGTGTAGCACATGCCGCATGCAATCGAGAGGAAATCTAGACCATAATAATAATCACGGCAATTTGGAGACACCATTGGTAATTGCCGCAATTGCACTTTCATTTGGGATTCTTGCTGCTCGATGTCGAATTAACCTGGCCAAAGCTATGTACTCGTGTACCCGCTGCTCTTTGAATAAATTTCTACACGGATTGATTGACAGTCCGCTGCGATTAAGCGCATAATGAGGCCCGCTCCTTTTGACATTGATGTGGCGCTCTCCGCCGGTGAGTCAGTCATAATTAGCGCTGGGTATTTCGGCTGGGTGACATTATCGATGTATTTTGATTGAATGAAAGTTGAACTGTGTTTTTGAAAGTGAATTTCTGTCACGGCAGAAGACGCGGTGAATCGAAAGCATTTCGATTTGGGCTCTTTTTGTTGCGGCAGAATATCGAAGAGCGTTAGACAATAGCCAAGTCTATTGGCCAGGCCAGCGGCTGGCGTTTGGCGTTTGGCTCGTTTGACATAACCACCACAATGAGCAACCACAACAAGCCACAACTCCCAGACGGGTTTTCCACTCGCTGCAAAAACTGGCTGCTCACATTTGGTAAAATTTCACTTTTTCCTTTTATTTGCTTGCTGGCTGCGACTATTGCAGCAGCTTTTTATGAAAATCAAAGCAATCCCATACAGTCACTTGTGGACCAGTGTCAGTGCCAAATTTGGAGTGCACCAGTTGGGTTAATTGTAAGCGACACTGCCAGCCGATGTTTTGATCTGCAATCATAACTCGAAGGCTAGCATCGAATAGTACTGCGCTCATTGTTTTGGCCAAAACACTTCTCGCAAAGAAGCAGACACGGTCATGTCTCAATTAAGCCAACCTACGGTGCTTGGTCCGCTGACAAATTGCCGAGAGGCCGCCTTGTTGCTGTCGGGACTGAAAGCAGCAACAGCAGCAATCACAGGCAACTGGCTGCAATTTTCGCACCATAAACGTGGAAGCGGTCTGTTGTCAAAGCTTTTGAAGTGACAGCGGCCTTGTGCAGACTTTGAAATCAAGAGTGGTTTCGGCTTGGGCGGAAGGTTTGGCGATTCAAATTAAAGATTGCGTTTCTTTTTTCTCTTTGCAGTCCATCGAAATGGGAGGCAGTCGCAACTCAAGGTTGCTACTGGCGCTAATGTTGCTGCTAGGCGCGTCAACAACATCGAGCGGAGAGTCCACCACGGAGACTCCATCGGCCCTACTGCCATTAGAGGCACGAAGTGCTGATGTTTCGGGCGAGGAGGATGTCATCTCCACCAGCTATGTGCTGCCCAATCAGATTTTCAACGAGGGAAAACCGTACTACGCCCGCCAGGATCCAGTGTCGGGTCAGCTGGACTTCAGTGCCAAGAAACCGGCGGGAATCCAGCCGGAGGCTAATGAGGTAGTAGATCCCGACGAGAAGATTGTGTTGAGTGGTGGCAGTTCACCAAACATTCATGACTTCTTGAACCTCCCCGTTAAGTACTCCTCGTCAAAGTTCGTTTATCCGCTGGTCTCCAGTTCCTACGCCAATCTGAAGTACCAGGGCAGCAACAAGAATTACATTACCAACAAGAAACCCACTTCGGTGGTGGCTCCAGTCACACCCCCGCCGCCAAACTATCACAGTTCGAACTTCTTCACGGTTCCTACCACCAAACTAACCGCTGTGACACCCACGGCTGGAGCTTACTATCCCAGCAGCCCCACCAGTACCACCACCACCACATCTACAACTACAACCACTACGACAACAACTACTCGAGGAACTTTGCCGCCATCGAGGAGACCAGTTAGCACCACTACGACCACGGAGGCAACAACTCCGGCGGTCAAGTATACCACCACCTCCCGCCGACCCATTCCCGTGCAGACGGCCTCCACCACGGCGCAACCACCGCGCACCAGCACCACCCGAAAGAAGTTTGTGCCCGCCAAGAAGTACAGTCCCTCAGTGCCCAGCACCAGTGGAAGGCCAACGCTCAGCCGCGAGGATCAGCGTCCGGTGAAGTCATCGCCCAGACCCACTCCTAGCAGCCAAGATGTGGCTCTCACCACCCACCATGCCACGCCACAGGCGGCCATCTTCCCCACTGAGCCAGCCACGACCACCAAGATGTACACAACCTCGAGCACAAGTCCGCCAGTGGTGTTCACCGAAGGACCCACGCCCCCACCCGCGTTTAGTCCCATTCCGGGAACTGGTATTCCCAATCTAGATCCAGCTGATGTTTACCACACGCTGGGGCAGAAGAACACGCAGGCTGAGGAACAGCAGCAGCAGCAACTGGAAAAGCAGCAGCAACAACAAATGCAGCAGCAATATCAGGAGCAGCAGCAACAACAGCAGCAGCTATATCAACAACAACAGCAATATCAGATGCAACTGGAAAAGCAACAACTGGAAAAGCAGAAACATCCATACCAGCAGCAACTGGAAAAGCAGCAGCAGCACCATCAGCAACATCAGCAGCACCAGCAGCATCAGCAACAGCAGCAACAACAACAACAACAACATCAGGTGCAGCAACAACAGCAGCATCAGCAACAGCAACATCAGCAACAACAACATCAGCAACAACATCAACCTCAACCACCAACTCAACAACAGAAACCGTCTCCTCCTAAATCTCCCATGACCCTCAGCGATATATTTAATAGCCTGGCCGAAGAAGAATCCAATGTGGCACAAAACTACCAGCAAAATCAGGGATTCGATGCCCAGGGCAATCTCATCCAGCCTATTGCGCCCTCTAAGCCATCGCCTTTCGCCATGCATCAGCCAGGACCACAGCAGTCAGAACCACAGCAGCAAGGACCACAACAGCAAGGATCTCAGCAACCAGGATCACAGCAGCGACCCAATCCCAATGATCAGAAGGTGATCTCCGGAAGCCAGGAGAATTACAGCAACGAGTATGTGTCGTACCAAGTGCAGCAGCCAAACATGATGCAATACCGACCAGTGCCGGGCCAGATCAACAACGTGGTCATCTCACCGGGCCAGCAGTCGGCCTCTTTCGTTCTTGGCAGTCAGGTGCAACAGGTCAGCGTGGGACACCCAAGTGTCGAAAAGGAACCTCTATTCGCCAAGGACACGCCAGGAGTGCAATATGGGCAGGTAATCAACGAGGATATCGGCAACATTAAGCGACCTCTTAAGGAACCAGCAATGCCAACCAGCTATCAACAGATGCCGAGCCTCCAGCAGAACTCTAATTTCCATCAAAACGGAAATGTGGGCCCATCAGGAGCTCCTGGAGCAGCTTCCTACCAAGAGCCACCGCCAGAGGCACCAAGTCCTTATCAACAGCTGCCTCTAATTGGTTCCAATAAGAGACCATCAAAGAAACCTGCAGCTAAACCAGAGCAGCCTACCCATGCCTACCCACCTCCCCAAGCCTCGACGCCACCTCAAACGCAGACCACACCACCGGCTGTGTTGCAAGGAGACGATACCAAGGAGCTTTTGGTCTCGACCAACATTCGGTTTCCCGCTCAGGGTGAAGAGTCACCAGATCTATCCTCTGTGATGCAAGGTCCTCCTGCAGGACCCCACATTAATGGCCATGCTCAACCTCTTAGTCTGCAGCAAATTCAGAACTCCAATCCTGTTGTTTTCCCCAAGGCCAAGGATGAACCCGTTCCCAGCAGCCCTAATGTGCAGATCCAACAGCATGAAGTGCTCAATCTGAGTCAGCAGAAACCACCATTGGTAAGTGTTTAGATAAAAAATATCAACTCAATATAATCGTTACTTATTATTATCCCTAGAAATTCCCTGCCCAGCAGCCTGGACTTGGCGAGCAACCCTCGCTGGATATGGAACCACCCCCGCGGTATCCCACTACCATGCCAGTGCCCCAGGCACAGGCTCCAACTCCTGGCAAGCGACCACTCGGCCCACCACCACCATCAAATTTCTATAACGAGTTCAACCGCAAGCCTCAGAATGGACCACGCCCGAGCAACCTGCCCAATATATTGCCACAGTTCCGTCCGAATGCCAAGATCTCGAGTGGACATCCTCCGGCCTTCAAGCAGGAACCGGGAAACATCCGTTTGCCGCAGCAAGGTGGTCCCAAGCGTCCTTATAATCCCTCAGTGCCGCCTCAGTTTGCCCACCGTCGCCAGCCGTTGAATCAACAGCAACAGCCGCTGTTGCAGAAGCGTTATCCCATGAATCGCATCTCGGAATATCCCGTGGGTCCCAGTCCTGGAGGAGATGTCAATAGGAGGGTTTACAGGCTGCCCCCGTATGGAGGTCAGAATGTGCCCTACCTGCCCGACCACATGTATCCTCGTCGTCCGCACGGTCCTGGTCCATTAAGATCAGTTGACGGGTATCCCGCCGAGCGACATGCTCCTTCCGCTGAGCCCTACAAGACCATCGATGCCGAGGCGGCAGCTGATTTTGAGGAGGAGGATCTTGTGATCAACGATCCGCCACAACCAGTGACCCCTGGCAAGGATCGCAAGGATGTTGAGGAAACGAAATTGGAGCCAGTAGTCACCCTGCAAATGCTGCAGTCCCAAAAAAAGGCAGTGAGCCTGCCCGGCGATGATTCGGGTGCGGGAGAGATCCAGGTCACGGCCGAGAACGACCCCCAGGAGGCTGAGGCCTCCAAGCTTAGCCAGCAGAAGTTGGATCCTAGCGGAATGTACGTAGTTTTTCCGATGAAGGGGGCAGAAAAGGGTCAGACCGAAGGAGAGGCTCCCTCAGCTCCAGCCGAATACCAGAACACACCCTTCTCCGTAATTCGCGACCAGCCGCAGGAACCGATTCTGAAGAATAAGAAACCACAGTCACTGCAGCAGCACAACAAAGCTCAACAGGTGCCCAAGGAGAGGTTCCCTTATCACATCGAGAAGCCAGACCCCTCCTATTCAGAGCTCCACCCCGATTCGCAGACTGCTGTCCCCGGAGTACTGGTGGCGCCAAGAATCATTACCGGAGCTATGGGCACAGGCACAGAGACTCCCATAGCCATTGCATACACGCCAACGGAACCAAATCCATTCCGCCACGAACAAGGACAGAAATTCTCGAACATTAACTTGGCCACTTCGGTGATCAATGAAATCCGGCAGGACACCCAGACGGAAGAGGGTCTGAGTAGTGATTTTGATCTGCGTGGCCAGAACTTCGAGAAGGACTTCATGGCACCCTTTTACCCGAGTGTAAGTCTTGGTGGAGCAAGTGGAGCTGCAGCAGTAAACCCCGCAGCTCCGAGTAACTGGAACATTGTGCCCTCGACCACGGATCAGGCGATCTATGAGAAGAACAACATAAATCGTGCTGATGTGGAGACCACAGAGGAAAAGAAGGCGGAGGAGGAACAGCCCACTGCCAGTCCGCTGACGGCGGAGAAGCCCTCTGAGATGGACAGTTTCCAGCCACAACTTCAGGGTGGCTTCAAACCAATTTACCCGCCGGGCTACAAACACGTGGAGCAGGTGGAACAGGAAGAGATCGCTGGGGCCAAGAATGCAGCCCAGGATCAGCCAATCGCATTGCCACTGGTGGGCACCACGGCAAAGCCTTCGACATCAGCCTCCCCAAGCAGTAGCAGCAGCAGTTCCACTTCAACATCCTCCACGACCTCGACGACTCACCAGCCCGAGATAACGAAGTCGGATGTAACAATGGCAACCACCAAGGCGCCGGTGGTCAGTGCGAAGCCCACGCAGCGCAAGAAGTCCAGCTTTGAGACGAGTCTGGCAGCCCTACTCTTCGGGGACGAGGACGAGGAGGATGGAGCACGCAAGTCCGCCGAGTTGCCAAAGGCCCAAGCCGGACCGAGGAATGTGCCACGCATGGGTCCAAGGAGTCTGACGTTGAGCTAAGCGGGTGCGAGGAGCCCACAAAACTAGTGTAGTCCAATTTTAGTTCGTATTATTTATTCAAAGTTTATGAGACAGCAGGGATATGACCCGCTTAGAGGTAGACCATGTGGTAATCTAGTTCTGTTCTACAGCTTATAGTTAGTAAGCTCACCATCCAGATATATAGACCATCGCCTCCAACGAACACCACACCCCACGATCCCAGCGACTTTTGCGAGTCTGATTTGAAATGTGTATGTTGTGAACTTTCTCATTGGACTCCCGAATCGTCGGAAATGAGATAAAAGCTTTTTATATTCAAATTAACAACAAACCTAAAATAGTACTCACAATTTACCAGATTATTGTACCATAGAAAACCATGCAAAATAAACATAATTCTGATATGATAAAGACTTTACCTTATTTTTTTGGGGTTTGGCGTTTAAACAAAGTTTAAAAGCATGGAGTATTACATTTAGCTTATAGGGACGATCTGGAAATTAATAGAAAAAAAAGTTTATTTACATAGGAACTGGTCAAATAAGTTCATTAACTTATGTTTCAAAACATCTTCAAAGTGGGCCTTTACAATTTCATGCGACTTTTTTAAAAACGGATTTCACGTTGTTTCGATTGATTTAAAATATGCTTTAACATTTCGAAACTTTTACTTTTTATTCAGAAGTACTTTAAACATTGGGACACTTAAATGTATTTTTAATATTAAACATTTATTCCAAAATTTTCTAAAGCTGCGAGCACTTATGTGTAATTCATGGTGTTTTTTAAATGTTATAATTGTTGCATCGTTTTCTTTATAATATAGAGTCTTGTAAAGACTACCCTCATTGTAGAGAGTATGTTTTCGATGATTTGTAGAAAAGTGACCCAAAATTGACCTTCTAGAGTCTATAACTATACCAAATTTATCATTTATCAGTGCTGACCGTCAAACTGAACCTGTGCGTAGGAGGCGCTCCCAAGCCTCACGACCGAAATCATACCCTCACATCTACCAGCGTTGCTAGCCTCAAGACTAAGATGTAAGATGTAAGATACGTATGTAAAAAATTATACCATTTTACACAGTTCCATTATCAATTAAAGTAAACATTTGTATGCATACTTTTAGGCTCAAGCTTAGTTTATGATCTTTCTCTGTTGTTACCACCCTGGTGAAAGTAATCCATAAAAATAAAAAATTAATCGGAAGTTTTTCTATATCGGTATCTTTATTATACGAGTACAATTCAGTTTTACAGTTTTACAAAATCATTTGTTTGCCTGACATGTTTTCGTTATTCGTCCTTGTTACTTGTAAAAACCGAAACTGATTTCGTTTTTATGTCTGGGATGGACTGCGATTTCAATGTTGATAATAATATATATAATACTTTTTCATGATCGACTCACGTTAGTAAGTGCTTTAAAATGTTAGATTGGCAACCGGAAATGAATTTTAAATTCATGATTCTATAATGTTTGGCTTTACTTAGAACCCATTAACAAGACGATGATTTGCAATGAGGTTGATGTGTTATACTCAAATGGACGACTTACATTTCTTAACAATCTTTGCTATAGTGCTGAATCGTATGTACACATATTGTATTTTATTTACAGCTGCCACGGAAGTCTCTTTTTTCTTTATTATTTTTTCTGTTGAACAGTGTCTAAGTTGGTAAAGTAAGATGCTTCAGTTGGGAGCCATTAATTTCAAATGAATTTTCGATAATCAAATTACGGATATATTTTCCTATCATTAGTATAATGGAAACTACTAGCCAATTGAAAAACGATGGCTCAGTCTTCGCCTTGCTTTTGCAATATGTGTAATAATTGAAGTATAATTGCAGCCGAATTGCATTAACCTTATATGTAAGTTCGATTATAGAGGACCCACAAACATTAAGCAAAACAATAAATCATGCCCCATAATATACTCTATGTAAAATCGAATTTTTAGCAAATCTGTAATATCGATCCGCTAGGTTTGATGTATACATTTGTATTTATTTGTAATGCAGATACCCACATCATTAAAACGTTAAAAAGTAAAACTAAAGTCCAATGTTTGATAAAGCCAATCAGAATTGGGCAATGATAAATGGTCTTGCTTCTCGAATTGATCCGGGATCATCTGTACAATTTTCGAGCGAAAATGGGCTTCAAGTCTTAAAACCTCAAGTTGATAAGTCTACATAGATATTTAACTTTGACCTTACTTGGTAATTAATCGCTACAGGTAAAAGTATGTATTGCAATATGCCATTTTATGTATATATGTAAGGGTGTATATTTGTATTGTATTTTAAACATAATCATTTTATACAGAGTTTAGACAAAATCAAATAAATAGCGCGATAAATTTAATAATATATGTAAATGTATTTATAAAGAACAGCTATGCCATTTCATAGGAGTTTATCAGCGACAGATTTAATTAATAAGAATAAATACTTTCCACGATTGGTTTCTGAATATTCGCTAATTTAGCATAACATATGTAGAAGTAAATTTGAAGGACTAGGAACCAGTACGACATATGATTATGTTTATGTATATGTATGTAAATGGTAAACGGTAATAAGATACAATTTTCAAACTAATATAAATGAAATGGTTTCTCTTAATGTAAAGGGCATGCTTAATTTTTAGTAGAACATTTTGGCTTATTTGACGATAAGGAAATAAATTATCAACTAAATTACACTTGTAGGCATCGAAAACTAACCAACTTTTGTGGGCAAACTAATTTGCGATTGTTTGTATTCTTATCAAGTGGTACTGCCAGGTATGAAGGAATCGGGTATAAGGGTAAAAATCTCACAGAATCTAACTAATTCCCAAGGTGACTGAACAAATAAGTTAATAAATATGAATCAGGTCTGGGTTTCCATAAAGAGATCCCGGATAGCCGCCCTGCTGCTACTTTTTTTTGTCGAATATTGGAAGCTTTGACTTGACCGCACCTTCGCACACCATCATCCTTTGCTGTGCCGGCTTCTTGTCGAGGTCAAAGCACAGAGCATCCGGATTCAGGTGGCGCTTGAAGTCCGAATAGCGACGCGACTCGTAGAGGTAGTTGGATCCCAGTGCCGAGGCAGCCACAGCAGCGGCCACCGTTCCGTTCCCATTGCGATGGTGCAGCGATGGTGGAGAAGAATCTTGCCGCTTTCGCTCAAAATACTCTACTATCTTGGCTATCTGGGCGGATCGCGTGCTGGGCAGGGCCGTGAAGGAGCGATCGTCCCAGAGCAGGGAATCGGATCCTGCCAAGCTGCTTATGTCATCGGAACTGTCCGTGTAGATGGACGAGGTGCGGTTCTTGCAGTACAGCAATTGGTTCGTCGCGAATGGACTGCGTTGGAGCAGCGTTTGAATCTCAGAGTCGAGGGCTAGTCGATTGATCAGGCCTGTCGTGGCCGCCATCTGTGAATCGCTCCCATTTCCGCTGAGCAATGCATGATGGCAGGTGTAACGTCGCTGGTGTGTGGGTCGCGACGCCACAATTTCGGCGTCCAAGTCATCCATAGAGTCCAGCGCTGTGGAAGATGAGGTATTCCCTCCGATCACAGCGGGATCATTGTCGATTAGCAAAACCGACGACGAGGTTGAAGATGTGTCGTTAAGCAAGTGGCTCTGCTGTTGTAGTTGGGCCGCAGCAGCGGCAGCAGTTACAGCGGCATTCGAAGTGGAGGTGGCGTAGTAGCAACAACGACACAGACTCGCAAGTTTATCGCTGAAAGATAAGATATACAATCAATAAGTGGTAATCAAGGATACAAGACCAAAACCTACTTAAACTAACAAAAACATTCGACAAACATTTTTATAGCTTTTTAATGTTTTATGACTCTTGGGATGATTATTGACTAATAAGATGATTTAACACAAATACCATGTCAAAACTTTTGATATTTTAGGAAATAAGTGACTTTTATGGTAGCGTGATTTCAAGGCTTTTAGCAAATAAGTCACTTACGGCGTTTGTGCAATTGGGGCTCGATATTTACACCGTGGCTGTGTTTAACCTGGGATAGGCCGAAATAATTACAACTTGTTTAACATTTTAAGATATCAGATTTCTATCATTATTATTTAAACTTCGTTTAGCTAACATTAAAAATCGAAAAACACATACATAATTGAATTTGACGTTCATATTTAAACGTTTATCAAGATTTTGATAAATACATCGATTTGGAAGATTCTTAACAATAATTCTTAGATATAACACTTTTCCTTGTTGATAATTAGTTGAAATATAACACTTTAAACAACAAAGTTTTTTGCTAATATGCTACGGAAGTATCACACAACTTTTGAGATCTATATACTCACTTGATTTCACTATCTGCGCTGACACATGCATCGATCATTAGCTGCGTCTTCAGCTTCTCGTAGCAACAGTTACTACTGTTGCCCCCGCCGCCGCAGCCAAACCCCAACGACCCAATCCCGTTTAGCTGTCGTCCAAAACTGTTGTTGGTTATCGCTGCATCCGACTCCTCATTGAAGCACGAAAAGAAGCCACTTTCGATGGAGTCCCGTCTTGTTAGGTTTGTTTTGAGGGGAAGCTGCTCACACGAGTTCTTAAGTTCGCTCAGATCGCAGGTGTTCTTCAGTTCGTCGAGCTCAAGATCGGTGCATGATGACACGGACGCCGGGGTCTCCGCCAGCCTGGCCGAACAGCTGGACATGGGAGCGGGCGAAGCCAAGGTCGTGGCAGCTGCACTGCAACTCGTTTGGTCTTTGGACTTCTTGGCGCTTTCAGTCAGATCCCCGCAGGAATTGGATGCACCCACTGAGGCAGTCAACGTTATTGTCGATGCGCTGGCCTTTAGTAGAGCTGTACTCTCGAATTCCCCGGTACTGGTACTTTTCATGCTGGTGCCATTGGGGCCACGAAAAAGTGGATGCGTGTACAAGGAATTCGCGCGGTATTTGCGAGCCGTTGGCACTGTGGCCGGACGCTCGGCGCTGTCGTCGCTGCTGGACTCTGCATCCGCACAGTTGCCACCGCCATCGGGATCCTCGCCTTCTGAAAAGCAATATTCGCAGTCATCCTCATCTGCTGGTAAGGCAGTTGGTGGTGGGGCAACTGGAGCAGCATTACTAATCCTCTGGGGCAGGCGCAGCTCGATGGCGCTGTACTTGCGCGTCATATGCGGCGACACCGGCAGACTCTTTGGTTCAGTGGGAGTCGCTGCCGTTACCTTTCCAGCTGGTGTTGCGGCTGCTGCTTCATCCGTACTCGCTCCTCCACCCTGAGCCACTGCCTTGCTCTGCATGGCGGCCAGCTCCTTGAAGAACGGCGCCAGCGTTTCGAAGCATGAGCTGAATAGATCTCCCACTCCAGCTGCATAGGTCTTTGGATTGGCGTCCAGGATCTTCTTTACGCCCCGCAGCTGCGCCAGCGCTTCGAAAGGATTCGGTTTAGAGCCGTTGTGATCCTTCTCAGATGTCGGCTTGTACTGTGGATCCTTCAGACACATTGTTTCGCCTACTTTGCGTAGGGTAAGAACCGCGGAAACAGGCTGGGGAAGTGGTGGTGGATCTGGAATAGCAGTGGCGGGCAACTGCACTGAAGTTAGCTGCCTGGGCGGCGTTGGAGAGTGGGTTGAGGAGCGCTGGCGCTGCATTTGATGACAACGCGCCTTGTCACTGGGCGATGTGTGCATGGGAAAGTGTATAATGTTCTCGCTCAGCGAGCGCCGGTGCAGGAGGATCTCGGCCTCCAACTTCTGAGTGGCACGTCGCACTCTGGACTTTAGTATGTGATCATCAAAGCCATTGCTTCCGGCGGACCCATTTGGTGTGCCCGGCAGTGCAGCCGAGGCAGACTTCTTACTCGGGAAACGGAACCCTTCTTCATCGACTTCTTTCAGATGACGCGGTGTTAAATTTCCAGCTGGTGCCGTACAAATAGTGGCCACAGTCGGGGCTGAAGTCCGGGGAGTTGAGGTTATATTCTCTGAATCACTTCCTCCTGGGGAGCAGTTGATCAGCTCCAGGGAACTAAGTGGACTCGCTCCTGCCGACGACTCGTGTTCGTACTTTTCCAGCAGCAGGGTCAACTTCTTGAGGGCATCGTGGAAAGTGGGGCGGCTCTTTGCGTCGTACTGTAAATAATAAAGCGGATTAAATACACATTCTTTGGCTGATGATAAACTAAGGCTTACTAGACAACAGTAAAAGGCCAGGCGTAGAAAGACGGGGGGTGTGTCCATGGGACACAGCTCAACAAATGCCAAATAGTCCAGGCCAAACGACGCAGTGCGCGGCATCATGTCCGGGTCGGCTTCAATACGGGCTATGATCTCGCACTGGATGATGCCGAAGGAGAAGACATCGCTCGTCTGGTCATACCATTGACCCTTCAGGCACTCCGGACTGACCCAATACGGTGAACCGACGGTCTCCAGGCGTGATTTTCTGCTGCAAGCAAGCCCATTTTGGATTAGTTTATTTATCTTTTTATGCCAATCTGATATAGAATTTAATAGGTGTTCATAAAATCTCTTCAAATACTCAAGTAACACTAAGCTGATATTTTAGTTTAGACCAGGGTACACTTACGATTTGACTGGTATCTTTGCGGCTAGACCAAAGTCACCCACGACGGCTTCATACTGATCGTTGGCCAGATTGCGAATAAGTACGTTCTGGAACGATAATCGGATTAGGACAGGAGCTCAATGGCTTTTCGGGCAGCAAGTACTCACCTTGCTCGTCAGATCTCTGTGGAAGATGCCCGCGTCATGGACGTAGGACATGCCGTGCGCAATACCCAGCGCCAGTCTTATCTTCTGCGTGGCGCTGAGCACCACCTCCTTGTTGGCCAGCAGCTGCTCCAGAGAGCCGCCATTGATGTACTCGGTCAGGGCGTGCAGTTGGCCCTCCTGCACGCAAACGCCCATAAAGCTGAAATGAAACAAGAAGGAACACAACCAGTCAGTTAAAGTTTGCCACTGCATTGCAACTATTCGGTGTGGCCCGAATAAGTTTCACTTTCAATCACACAACTTGACAGGCACTGCAACTCCCCAGACCCCAGATTTCTTATCGCCGGTCGACATGCAATCGGCCACCCCCCACTGATTGTTAGCATTGTTTCAGCCTTGATTCGCTGCAAAATGAAATTGTAATTCGAATCCCCCGATGCAGCAGGAGCACGCAATAAAAAGAGAAAGTTTTCCCTTGACTGGACATAGCTTCTTGGTGAGCATGAGAAGATGGAATGGAATCTCCTAGGATTAACAGAACAAAGGAACCACTTCCTAAGCACTCATCTCCGCTTCCTGTTCAGACAATGTCAATGACTCCTAAGCCTAAGGAGCTCAACAACTACTGAGACTCACTTCAGGAGGGAGGACAAGGTGAGGTCACCAGGCCCGGGAACCGGAACTGTAAGCTTATTAAGAAAATGGCAACGCATGCGTCAACCTCCTGCTAACTCCTTCCTCCAAACAAAGTGTGCAGTCAGGTAAAAAAGGTTAACTGCTGCCAGACAGGGCTGACAACGATGCTCGGAGGTGACAATGAACTTTTGTACAAGTACGAAACCATCTCAGGTTGCATCATCCAATAGATACCCTTTAGAAATGCTATATGTGGATTAACACAAGCGGTATTTTAAAAGGAGTAAATTTGGAAAATATATTTCATTTTTAACTGATAGTTTTAAACAAAACATATGATTTCGGTAAATCATGCTGAGATGCACTTATGGAAATATATACCGAAATATTCACAACCGATTGGCGCATGTGACTCAGGTCAGGTGTTCAATACGTACGCCATTTCGATAAGGGTTCGCTTCAAAATCGTCTTTTGTCAAATGGTCTAATCGGACGTAATGTTTATCTCTGCACATGCTTTATTTCGGCCAGCCCGTTCTCCGGCACCAGGTTAAAGCCATAACCCAAAGCGTTCGCCAAATTGCTTAGAACTCTACGTCGTGTGCCAGATAAGCTTTATCGTCCGTCATGCTATATGCTTAAATGTATACTGTATAAGCGGACAAGGAAACTGAAGTGGCGTTCGTAAAGTTTGATTTAGGTTTGTGTGCCCGATTGGGTCATTAATTTTCACTTACTATAAAAATTAATTTCACTAGGTTAACCGCAGACCATCAAATCCTTAATAAATTTCGCAAACGGTGTGCCGGGCGGAAATAATTGCTTCATGCACGCAACCTGTCACCCCATCCACCCCAAAACAGACACTTTTCTGTCAGGCTGTCAATAAGGCTATGGAACAGGGTCTCCTGGGTGCGAGTGGGCGCGTGATGTCAGGACAATCAAATGTTACGGCCACCCCTAGCACCACATTATGACCCAGGGGTCTCAACGCATTAACATACGAGTTGTAAAGGGGTTGTCTGGCTTAAACAACCAGTTGCATCGCTTTTCAGCGGCGTTTACTGACTTGCGTGATATGCGGCATTAGGAATCACAGCAGCCTGATAGAACCATCAGCGCCCTTCGGGGGACCTTTATTGAAATCACTCGGGTCACTGGCTTTCCGGCAATCAAACCTGGACATAAAGTACAGGTAAGAGGAATACAGTGAAACGTATTCAACAATAACTACCCTTTTTATAAGGAAATTGCAAACGAGACAACGAATTTATAAATAGCATTTTGGGTCAGAAAATTATTGTTTTTTCATTCGCTGATTTAATTCATTAAATAAAATAAAAGCAGTAACAAAGCGTCAATTAAAAAATATGAGAATGTAAAACAAAACAGCCAGTAAAAGCTAAATAGAGAACTGGATAATTAGCTTTGAAAACTATCTATAAGATTTCCCAAATTTTGACTAGAATCGAATCCATGAAGATTTGACTGTATTTATGTACACAAAACGTTATTACGCTGCATAAAAAAATGAATATGTCTTGGGCAAGAGGGCATGACCCTTTTGAGATTCTTGATAGATGCCACGCCAGTGTGTGGCAGACACATGTCAGCCCTTCAGACAGACAGCCCAAGGGCTCGGCTCAGCGCGGATATGAAATGAAGTTATCACAAAGGCGAGACTGCTCGATCCCAGGTGTTGAAGGCAGGGGATTCGAGGCCCGAGGGTTTTGTCTGCCGCACATCCTCTCTACAGAGTGGCACACCTCTTTCCTCCTTCGCAACTCGTGACCGTGGGTGCAAGCCGCACTTCCATTTGCATGACCAGCGCAGGGATTTACGGTTCTAATTCAATTTATTTCCCTGCGTGATACACGATTAGCGCCTCGAGTGAGTACCCCTGCCCTGCCCTTTTGCTGCCCATTAGCGGCTTACATTAAGAGGATTTGCCCGCCGTTAACACCTTTAATGTGCCTTTTAAGCCGCTCTCAACTCAACATGGCTTTGAAGAAGAGCTCTGTTGACAGAAAGGATTTAATTTGGTTACGAGTCGCATCAGTACTTAATTGAAAAGTACAGAGATCAGCCGATCCAAGAAAAGAAAACACCAAAAAAAGGTTTTGCCGAAAAGCCTGTCGACAATGTTCGATTGCACGAAGAGTGCTTTGTTAATTGGGCAATTCATTTATATCGCATTCATCAGCCAGGGTGCAAATTTGTTATTTTCGGAACGAGAAAAATTAATCATTAAAAGCAAAAACAAAGCCTTTTGCAGTGGGCGTTGCCAGACATTGGGAAGCGAGTTCGTCGACATCAAATTGGCTGGAAATGTAAATCAGTAGCCGGCCAAAAGAGGAGGCAGGCTGCAGATCTCGACAAAGGTGTCTCTAGCCATCCTCTAGCCGCTTTGCAGCAGGAAATGAATATACGTCGAGTGCCTAGGCTTTTGCCCACTTCAAGACCTGTAGCTGAAGAAGATGATGCCGAGAGCAGGAAGCGAGAACTACTCAAGCGGCTATAAACCTCTGAAACTGCCAAAGAAGCATTGTTCTGGTAGCGTTTAGATTTTCAATTTGTTTTTTTTTTCACTCGCCGGTTTTTCTCTTTTTTTGCCAGTTTCCCTGCAGTCAAGAGATGTGATTGTGTTAAATTGAAATGTGCTGCTTTGCTGGGTGTTACAATATTTGTTACAAGCATTACACCGTTTTCCCGGGAAACGTTGTTCGGTCGGCAGTCGGCAGCCGGCATTTCTCTTGCAAGTCGCAATGAAAACCATAAATTGACACGTTTGCACGTTTCTCTCTGGAGACTCTGCCAATTGGTTTCCCAGACTTTTCGCAGACGGAGCCGCAGTCCAACTAAAGCCGCTAACTGCCGCTGGCCAGCTTGGTTATTAGATAGGCTAATAAAATGCAAAATCCCGCTTGGAATTCTTTCACTCGTGTATTGCAACAGCGGCGGCATTTTTACGTTGGCAAATCGAATTGGAGCATTAAGGCATTTTGCGCTTAATTGAAAATTATTACCACAACATCAACAGCAGCAGCAACAGAAATTGCCACTGCAACAACAGCAGTACAGCAGCAGCAAAAACGGCACGATCGGGGGTTAAAAGGTTGACACAAAGTAAACAAAAATTGGCTTTTAGGCAAACAGCAAATAACCCAGGCCCAATACCAAGTTACAAATGAGACGGTGGCAGTAGAGCAGCCGGGGGCGTGGCAATGGGCGTTATAAATGGTCCTAAACGCTTAAACGCTGCCAACTGCAATTACCATTCGGCATTTACGACTGGCGGAGTAACAACAGTATTTCGAAATGAAATGATTGAATTTGGTTTTCAATTAGAAAAATATGCAAAACGTGATGCGAAAATTATGCAGATTGCAGCTGCAGCAGCAAAGTCCAGTGTAAGGCAGCAGCAGCAACAGCAGCAATGGCAACAGCAACAGTTGCTGCTACTTCCTCTTCTTGTTTTTACTGCTGACCGATTTTCAAGCCGCTGCAGCCCAAAAAGAAAGCTCATGTATGGGTGTTGCATAAATCTGAATATCTAATGCTCGCTTTTTGTTGTGCAAAATTGATTGAAGTGTATTGAAATTGATTGAAAGTTGATGACATAATTTCGTACGAAACGCAGGCCAGAGACAAAAGACAATGGCCAAACGTAAATTGGAAGTGAATGTTGGCAGCCGGGCCAAAAGACGCCAGCCGTTGGGTGAGAGATGTTTTATGGGACATCGCCAGCCTGACACGTTTACTTACCATTTTATGGCTATATTTTTTTATGCGGAAGTTGACAATTACAATTGCGATTTATGCAGACAAATATGAGAAGATTTATCGCTGGGAGATAAACTAAATTCAGCGAACACAGTAGTGAGTAATTGCTGTCAAGAAACTTGTTACAACATGGCAGCAGCACGCAACTAAAAAACGGGCTGGAATGCAAGGCAGCTCATTAAATTCCAATCTGTATCTGCATGTGTCTCCGAAACATTGTGTATAGTCAGATACATATTACTCACGCTTTCTTTCGGGTACATCAATCCGACTGCTCTTCTTTTTTATATTTTTACATGTGTTAGCACTTGCAGAGGCACAACACAATGTAATAATACTGTGGGTTCAATGACTTGCAATTGCGTCGCACTGCCTCGTGTGCTGTAGATGTTATTGTGGCTGAGACATAAAGCATTACCAAAATAAACAAAAATCAGCATTACATAGCCCAGTTTTGGGTCAGTGAGTTTAGTTCAGCTTGGTATTGCCAAAAACGGCGAACCCCCCGCGAATTCACAGATTAGCTTTCGATAATTGTTGATTTTATAGATTCATAATTTCGTGTTTGCTGTAAACACACACTGCTGGTCTAAATATATCCCACACACCAATGGTCCATAAATAGACGCTCGGAAGCAAGTGCAAACGAAAATCCGTGATGCAAATACTACAGATATTGACGTCAATGCAATTGACGATCGAATTCAGATCGAACAACCTGATCTCGGGCGTCTAAAAACAAGCTGCCTAATGAAATTGCGCGCGACAGTTTACCAGGCCATGTTGATCATCAATCAGAAATTAACCCAATTTAGCTTTCTTGAACTGGCTGCAATGGCAACGATCCGATCTGATCCGTGCCACACGGCAGCAGCAGAGCCAGAGGCAGAGAGCAGCTTCAATTACAGGCTATCGACAATTGACAATCCACAATCGACGAGCAAACATGAAAAGCTGAACTGATAAAAGTGCGGTGCAAGTAGTCAACCAGTCTGGCAGTCATGTATCCATTAAGCAATAAAAAGAAATGTTTATATGGCCGCAATCATGACACGCTCTCTTTCGGCCTCTTGTTGCTGATGTTGCTGCTGCTGCAGCAGGTGTTGCTATTGCAACTTGTCAAAGTCTGGTAACTGTACAAACTACCACAGGCTAGAAATTAAGGACTCAATTTGGCTAGACACTAAATCCCCCATTATACGCTTAATTATATATGCGCGGATTTAAGTTTTTGCTGATTTCATTCAAGCTGCCGGGCGAATGAATGGCCAATTTAACCCATCTTGCACAATAAAATTCTCATTAAATTGTCAACAATTTCTGCTCGTTCTCGGCAATCTTTTCATTAGCCTGACAATGTGCCACTGGGCGCCCGTTCATTTCAAGGCCAGCCATCTCAGTTTATTGGCAAGCATTTCATTTCATAAAAGGGGACAGAAATGAGCCGCCAACGCTCGGCGACACACAAATCAAGCCAAGACAAATAATGGCCGAGAGACAACAATGTGCAGTGGCCCCTCGAAAAATGGAGGCTTGTGGCAAACACATCGCATCCACTACACTCATATGTGTAGGAATTCCCCGCCACAGACGACCTTCATGTGGCGACGGGACTCGACTCATCGCCAGATGAGTGGCTCGATCGACTAGCTATCGACGCATTCAATTAAGTGCAATCTGACCTTAGTGGAATCTCTTGCAACGCCAACGTCGGGTTTATCAATAGCTACGGATTGTCCAAGTCTTACGAAATCGGGGTCAAAGCTGAACTGCAGCTCATGCGGAAGCGTGAGAGCTCGGTGGTCCAACGTTTGACACCTCAGCTGTGGAGTCATTAACCCGCGCACATTTGCATGCCAACAATTTGTCAACATTTGCCCACAACTTATCACCTGCTTAGCATCGCAGCCAGGCGCAAAGATCAAGTGCCGCCAGTGCGGCTCAAACAGCAGCTCTTGCGGAATTTCCACCATTGTTTGTGGCCGTAATGAGCCGGGCCAAGAACTGTCACATGTCTTACTCGGGCTTAGTCGCGTTAAATGAGCGTTTAAATGTCTCTGAGCGCCAAAGGCAGCATGTTTGCTTTTACCCTGCTCGGTTGTTACAAGTAGAGTTAATAAAAAAAGGGGAAAAAGTGTAGAGAACCCGGCGCCACAATCGTCATCGCTGTGTTTACATTTCGAGAAAGGCACTCAATGGAAGCCAACTCCACACCAATGGGATTTGTGAGTCAAACAATGCATATAGTGCACTGTCAAGAATTATTTATAAAGTCTTAAGACCTTGCTAACAATAGCTAGATTTCTAGACACTAAGTACAACATTTTCGGAATCACAGCTTTCGTTAAATTTCCGCGAATCAACTCGTAATGCTAGTCGGGTAATTTTTATAGATTTAAACTTGCTGTTAAGTATATTGCAAAAACAACTTTTTGTAATCAAAGATTCCATTATAAAAATAATTGAAGGAAAAAAATTGATCTTAATCTTTTGGAAGCAAATTCATTAAAAACCAAAAATTGTTTAAAAAAGAAAATGACTGGCTTATGTTTGTTTATGTTATTTTGCACAGTGCTGTTGGTAAGTAGAGTGACTATATGTCAAGTTGGCGGCTGCCTGGGAGCGGCGACAGCTACAAGCCATGTGGGTGGGTGGGTGATCCAGTGGGCCGTAAAGGGGGGAAAACGGGGTGGGGCAGGGCAGGGACAGTTGCAATGCAATGCAATTGCCTTACTAGCTGGATGGCTGTTTGGCTGACTGGCTGCGAGCGCGTTCTCATTGTGCGACATTCCGCATTACGGCGGGCGCGTGATAAGCACATAAAAAATACACGCCAACGGCAACTACTCAACTCAGCCGAGTGTGTGAGAGTTTCAGTTTCAGTTTCAGCGTTGTGGCCAATAAGTCACCGATTCGGGCGTGGGTGGGTGTATACTATACTATATGGCATCTGGGCATTCGGCATGCTGCCGGCTAGAAAGGTGGTTTCAATTACCCAAAGATTAGTTCTATTGACGCTCGACTGCATTGGCATTACACTCAGAGAAGGAGGATGCAACGGTACCGCTACTTATGGCCGCCAATCAATAGGCTTCATTAGCCGGATCGTTGAGGTCCGCCATGGGAGGCGGTGGCGCAGTGGCCCGCATGGACGCCCAGCGGTGTAGCTGTTAAAATTTGACAGTTAGCCGACAGACGCGATCGTTAAGCATCATTAAACATGCCCGCCAACAAGAGCAACGCCTAACTTACAACTAACTGCCAGTCAGTCAGTCAGTCAGTAAATTAATCGAGCTGGGAGCGGAGTTTTTAGCGATCCACGTCACTGATAAAATCACAATCGCGGATCGAGGATAGCAGATCTAAGCAGGGTTCAATCGGGTGGAACTATTGGAACATAGGTAGCCCCCACATAAAGATACACTTTGGCAAACATGTGTTTTTTGGAATTACAAGAATTATTATAGTAAAATTTGAATGAACTAATTAACATTTAGCAAAGTTTTAAAAAAGAATCATCCTAAAACAGATACAAATTAATTATTCCATTCATTTTCTTAACAATCAAATTATTTTTAAATAAATAAATTTATTCTACACCAATTTAAACGCATTGCTCTTGATTGGATTTACTTGTTTTCCCAGTGTCGTATTAATTGGCCCAAGTATAAATAGCTTTGCTGCAGGGGATCCATAAAACAAAGAACTAAATGCGTGTGGATGAATTTTAATTTCACTATCCAGCCGGCCTATGGCGCCATAGCTGCATTCCAGAGTTTTCAGAATTTTCATTTAATGCCTACGAATAAAGAAAAGTTGGCAGCTGCAGAGTCGCTATAGACTGCTGTTGTTGTTATTTCTTTTGGCTGGCTGTTCCGCTGACCCAAATCCATCTCTCAACGAGCCGGGCACACAGCGAAATAAGTTGGCCAGGGCATTTAATCAACAGAATCCGTTGCATTTAATTCTCTGACTGCGATTCGCCGCACGTTTCACTCAGCTGTTTCAGGCGAGCCGCTGATGACAGATGTCATAAAATCAGGTGGGCTCTTCCACCTGGAGAAGGAGGAAGGCCTCTAGCCGCGTTGCCATAACGGATTCTTTCGGATTATGAGGTTAAAGTTTGAATGGCCGCTGGCAAAAAATGTTGTGGGAAGAATGGCAACTAATACCAGACATGTCTCTTCCCATTTTCGGGGTGTTAACATTGTAAATGAAAGGGCGGGGCCGAAAAGGTCTAAGCCAGCAATTGCATATTCATGGAGGCAAACAGGAAAAGATGGGCGGTGCAAAATGGATTGGTCTGTATGTCTGTCTGGCAGTTTACGGAAAAAATAGCTAAAATAGAAAACGGCAACAGCAGCCGCAAAAAGTCCCTGAGAATTGCATACAATTGAAGTCGCTGCCATCAGACACTCATTGTTGCGTGCAGTCACGTGAGGACAAAACAAACTGAAAAAATAGTATAAATAATACCGAAAAAAAAGGCAGCGAAGTGAGTAAGCTAGCTACGCAGCTTGGCAATTAAATCTATTCAAGCCAGACAGACAACAATGTCATGAGCCTTTGCCATATTGTTTCAGACTTTGCCACTCAGCCAATTACATCAGCAGTTTTTTTTGTGTGACCCGTGAGAGGGTCCCCTAGCCCCTACCCCTTCCATCCCCCCTAAAAGCCAACACACACCTGGTCACTGCCAAGGTAATTACAGACAGTCGGTGCAACAACAGCAGCCCGTGAACTTGACCTTTCCGCGGGCATCGGAAATGTGTTGTGCGATTTTGGTCTTGAACCTGCTCTGAACTCCAACTGGAACTCTTTAAAATGCCAAAAGCAAATGGCCAGTCGAAAAATATAAACAAACCGCCAAACCATAACAAGCCAATCTCATTGCGGTAAGAAGTAAATATTTGCTCAGTATTACTTTGAAAGCACACACACATCTCCATAAATACTTTCAATAAAAATAATATCCATAATGATGTCAGTTTAGTCAGCAGTCCCAGATGTCAGAACTTACGACAGGCTGAAAAGTGAATCATACCCCAACACTACTCGTACATGAATGTTGTTTTCAGATTTAGCATAGGTCAGTATTTTTGATGATGCGAGCAGAACAGCTTTTACCCCTAACGAGTACTGAAATCAAGTGTAAAATATGCAAAATTAAATTGAATCCGACAGAGAAAATGAACATTATTTGCGTAGAATTCAAAATAAAGACCCTGCGCGATGAACCCATTAAATTGTTTACGTAATCCATTTAAATGAATGGTCAATTCGCGGCGAGGTGCGAACTGAATGCGTAAACACAATCGGACCACATGATCATCAAAAGCTAAGGGAATACATATACATATGCCATATAGCTCATTTGGAGTCGACAACAACAACCATTCATAAGCCCCGCAGTCAAGTTTGCAATTAAAATCAGAGAATATGAGTCAGAAAAACAAGCATGGCATTGACCCATAAGATGCTGCTCAACTACTTATGGTTTTATTTACTTGCGATTAGAATAAATATATTTTTCTGGGCTATTTTTAGCCGTCATTCCTTCCCGATAAGCTGGACTCTATGATAATCTTCACTTACCTCAGTATATTTGCGTGCGAGAGCTTATTGAGGAGCTGCACTTCCCGCAGCATATTCGGTCGATTGGCCCGCAACTGATTCATCTTGAGCACCATCACCTGGCCGGTTGTACGATGTGTGACCTGGAAAACAAATCAGAAAAACATTGCCAAAATCAGAAACATGAATTTATATAGCAAGTAGTAAGTGGCAGATCCATAAATCGTTCTGCCAGCGCTGACAACTCAAGTGCAAAATGTGAGGACACGGCTAACTAAACCAGGTATCTATTTTTGCAATGTTCCAGGGTCAAGTTCGCGTGGAAAGTTGCTGGCGAGTGCAAAGCAAATATCGAGAGCTGGAGGATAATTGCATCGAAACAAGTGAGACAACACCAAAGTGGTTTTCATGGATTTTTGCAGACCAAATGAAAAATCAATAAACCCGTCTGTCTGCGCTTGGTCCAATGCAATTTGATGGTCGGCGGTTAGCAAGCCAGAGCTGTCTGCAATCACAATTAAAATTGTAAATTGAATTTGCCTTTTGAAGGTGGGTTGGTTAGGTACGCCTGCCAAGGGGTTAAATGTCATTTGGACTGAATTGTCCGGAGCTCCCACGTAGGTGTTATTTCTGTACATCTGCTACACTGACGAAAAATGAAAGATTCTCTAAATCTTATTGCATAAATTTGTACAACCACTTCCTAGTGTTCTTTAATATTTGTATACAACTTTTTATACTCTTTAAGGTCAAAACACTATTGGTACAATTCCATTCTTGTCTCTTCCATTTTTTCATTAAATATTTAATACAAGTCACCTATCAAAACCCATGTTAATAATAAAGAACATTTCTAAGTTAATGTTTGGCTATGCAGTCTTTATTTGGAGATAATACTTTTGATTTAATAGTGACTTTTTCTTAGTTTAGAGCTCGTTGTCTGAGCCGGGATTGCCACTTGGCGCCAGACAACATTATTCACAATTCACTTAAATAAATAGCCCCGAGTCGCTGCCAAGGTACACACGTACATACATATTTAGACCGTCGACAATGGCAACTTGTATTTAGCTCTTCTTGAATTTTATTCTATTTTTATGCCGTCGAGCAAGGCAAATAAGCAGTGAAAACAAACAGCAGGCACAGACACTTCTATTTCTTGAGCGCGAATTTCTCGGCTCTTTGCTAATGGCAGCAAATTAAGTTTCCTTGTGGCCCCCAAGCCCCTGTCCCTCGCGATCCTCTCGAGTTAGGCCGGTCTATAGGTGAGTAAGCTGATATGCTGGATGGATAGGATGGATAGGAAGGATAGGGGGCTTGGCATGGAAATGGGGCCTGGGGACACGTGTGCGTGGGTGACACACACGACGCCGACTTCCATACAACGATAAAAACTTCAGTACCAACAACAGTCGTAACCAAGTCATTGTCATTCTTTATTGTCCTGTTGCGCTTTTAGCTCATTTCGGCTTTGTGCTGGCCTCCATTCGCTAGCTGCCTTTGCGTCGGTGTTAACAAATTTATGAAGTTTCTGTTGCCATTTGCTATTTGCTTACGCCCAGCGGGCAAAGTCCAATTCACGGCGGTCTGCAGCCATGAGTTGTTTAGCTTGTTGTCTGGCAGCATGTGGCAATCACCGAGAGGGGGAGAGGTGAGGTGCTCCCAAGATTCTTAACTCGGCTCAGAATTCGATTTCCGCTTTGTGTCACTTTATTTTCGGCTAGCTCCTCATGTCAGCCGCTCATTTGCTTATCTGCCACTCAAAGAGCTTTCAATATACTTATACTTTATACCTATATGTTTTTCGCAATAAAATCGCCTCAAATTGCTGACACACCCAGCCGGATGGACTCGAAATATATTTGAGCAAGGCAGTTCTCTTTTAAATCGCTTCTGTTCATCATATTGATTTTACAGGTGAAATTCGGTAAGTAAACAATCATTGTTAGATGAGAAGCAAACTTTCTTAATTTGTCAAGAATAGATTTTTTAATTTATTTAAATTATAAATTTCTGATAAAAACAAGAATAAAAACATTTTTTCCTTGACACTTCTGGTAATGAATATTAACTTTTCTTATTGGCATCGAATTATCTTTGATTAAAAATAATTCTACATTGAGAAGCCCTACTGTATTTCTTTCTTTAATTACCAAATTATTTGTGCGTTGTGCGTGACCAATAAAGCGCGAATGCTTTATGTATGTTTGCCAAATTGATTTGCATTAAATGAGTCCCTACCTTACAGACTGTCACAGCCTGTCATCCCGACCGACCATCAAAAGAGCCACTCCCATTAAGTGTTTGCTTGGACAATTAAACCATTAAATGCATTTTAGAATGCTTTAGAAGCGCTTAATGAGCGCTGCAGATGAAAAGAGGCAGTTCCTACAAACTGCACGCTGGGTACGTGTATTTATCCAAAAATGTTCAAACTGTTCGTGCTGCAGACAAAGCGATTGCTCCGACTCCGGCCGGTGCAGTGGACCAAAAAGTGGCACGTCCATGCTCCTAAGTCCGAAGAATGGGCCTGCAACTGTGCTAAAAGAGATCTTACTCAGTCTACACATGTGTGGATTGATCTTTTGCTCGGCGGCCAGCTTCAAAGACCGTCCACCAGTCGGTCGGTTTCTTATTGAAAAGCGTTTAGGCCAGCAATGACGTGAGAAAAGAATTACCGACACAGACATATCCATACATCATCAGCATCGATGGGCTTCCAAAATAATCAATTACGGGCGAAATTCGAAAACGAAGGTGTTCGAGTGAAAGAAGCCTCTGGTGATCTGGGTCGTCGTGTGTGGGAAAGTTATTGGGTTCTAAAAGCTTTTTGAGCGGCTTAGAAAAATCCCAGATTTCCACCGAAATTCATTTGCACCTCCAAACAACTCAAATCTTCCGCTTCATCGTTTAATTTACCCCCAAATGAGTGATAAACAATCGCCGAGCGTAAACAGCAGAACAAGAAATTATTTATGATGGAATATAAACCACACACAGTCATAAAACCATTTAAACTCCTTTGTTCTGTTTGTTAGTTTTAAAGCATGAAAATGCTTTTAAATTTTCGTTTACACTTCAAATAGTGTCCAACTTAAAGTTCCGCCAATGAAATCCGTCGATAACCGGAGGAGGAGAGAGTGAAGTCATCCGTTCTGCGCATTCAAATGAAACACATCAAATTATTATTACTTAACCAGTTTTAATGGCCAGCTGAGAGCCTCCTCATCGCATTGCATCGATGGTTATGTCAACAGGCAGCAGCAGCAGCATCTCGGCATGCAAACAAATTTCTTGCCTTTTGCCGTAAATACTTGTATTTTCACTTTCAGTTGAGGCAAAAATGAAAATAACAGCGGCCACAATAAAATGGTGGCGTTTGCGGAAACAAAACAACAACGAAAGTTGCCGCACCACCTCGCCAAAAAACATCCTTTTTGACCAAAAGGCCAGGCTTTTGGCCGAAACCAGTCGGCGTCCACTTGAAGCGAGGCTCACACTGACATTTCAGCCGGCGGAATACAAAAACGAATAAAAAACTAAACGAAAAATTGGTAATCGGTAAGCAGAGAAAAAACCCGCTCTATTCAGGCCCAGCTTGTTACATGTATTACTGCTGGCCGAAAAACGCGTTTTTAGCCAACGGACTCGGCATGGGGCACACGTGTGACATTCGATCTGCGGTGCCTGTTAAACTTCGATTCGATTGCACCGGCTACTAGGGAAAATATGCCAGCTATTTCCACGCCGCCGCTGTGTTTCGTTTTGCTGGTTAACAAATACTTAATGCGATTTACAGTTGGGTTTTTTCATTCACCAAGAGAGCCTGGTCAATCATCTTTCACATGGCAAGCAGCGTGTTGTGGCAACACGAGTTAGCGGTACAATGTCACCGGCGGAACGGCTGGAGGGAGTCGAGTCTGGCCAAAACGTGTTCTGGCACACTCCGCCGCGTTTTTCACGCTGCTGTGCGAACTCGAACCCAAACCCAAACCCGGCCCGAACCCAAGAAATACGCACGACAAATGTCGGCTAAAACCATGTAAGACAAATATTAGGCGAGAGGTGTTGCTGCCACCAACTTCTGGTCATTCCCATTCCCAAGTAGTTGGCAGAAAAAGAACCAGCTGGGAGCTGGTAGCTGAGAGCCGGCTTTGAATGGAATTTAACCCAGTTTGCTTTCTTCTTTCTCGCTTGCTGGCTCGCAGGCTGGCTGGTTGTCTTCATTTCTAGCCAACTGGCTTTTCAGTTTGGTTTTGGGCGTCAGGGGCCGCTCTAAATGGCCTTTATTGCTATGGTCAGTTATAACGAGGCAATGGAGAGACAGGTGACTTTGTTTGGTTATTTGCATGGAGCTCAAAATTGGGTTAAATGTGGATAATATTGCACGACCCTATTGTCACGAATAGCTAGAAGAGTAAATTAGGATTTAGGTTAGAGTGAACGTATGTTTCTAGGTTTATAAATCGAACCCACTCTCCAAAGTGGGAGACAAATTTGGTGAACTAAAATTAACCTTGACAGCTGGACTGACGTAGTACCCAATATTTTTAGACATCGTGATACGGTCAAATCGTATGCGCCTTATCGGACCGTATATATACACCTACAGTCAGTAATAGCAGCCTAGTCAAGTATTAGGATTATAATTTAATAGCTAATCTTATCAGTTGTCAGTGAGTCTCGGGCCAATCTTATCGGCCCATGGAAAGTTCAACTGCCCAAGGGCGAAATTATGATTGGCCATAAAGATGCATCCGCTGGCGGCAAGGATGGGGATTCGGTGGAATTAATTAGACGAAAAGTGAGTGAGTATGAGCGAGTATGCATCAATCACCATAAACATTTGTTAAGCCGGCAATAGCGGAACACAATTGCAGATAAAACTCCGGCCAGCCCCCAAATAACAGATATATATCTTTATATTATGCCCGGACCACAAACAGAGTCGTAAACAACGGCAGCGAAAACTATAAGCTCAAGTGCCGTTTTAAGCGATTTCGAATTTGGTTTTCATGTGAAACGAGCGGAATTCGTTGTTGCACCTTGTACATTCACACCATCACTTTCCAGGTGGTTTAATCGGCGGTGGGCGACCAGGAAGTGTCCATTTGAGCAGTGCAAATCAAAGAATATTACAGGC